AGCAGTTAACTCTTTAAGTCTAAGAAGTGATTAAAATGTAACTTCTCCCTCTATTATTTATACATTATCCAGCAAACAGGAAGTGAGGATACTCAAATTTATCTCCTAGATGTTATTATCTTGATATGATATCAAATTCTTGTAACTAATTGGAAGGACATGTTTGGCAGCTAAAGGGGAGAATTGACGATCTGATCTTGGAATTTAAGGGTTGAGACGAAGGAAATTCTCGGAATCTGCTTGGGAAGTCGACTGAAATATTTCCTTAATTCACTCGTCATCTCTTTGTTACGCACAATGTTCAAACCTAGTGCCTCTATGAACAAACTTTAGATATACTCACTGTCAAAATTAATATGCATTACTTAAAACATTGAGTTTCGCTTCAAACTTGTAACTAATTAAAATTTAAGAGCACGAACCACGCTTTCTCTACATTTTTAACGCGGAATTTCAGAAAAGAAAATGAAAGGTTAGAAATGGTACTCCGTGCGGTAAAGTTTCCGCACAGCCCCGTACTATTGTAAAACAAATCTGTTTTCCCGATGGAAATGTATTTTTTTGTCATTGTTTTCTCTGTTCAAGAACTGAATGCATAATGTAGGATGGGGCTGTACGGAAATTTTACCCTCCGCGCGACAACAGTTTTAAAGAAGAATTTCAAGGAAGCCAATTTTGCATAAAAAAAAAATTACGCAATAGAATTTCTACTGCTAAGTTATTGACAGCTTCTGGGCGGAAATACGAGCGACTGGAAAGAATTAAAGGATTTAATAAAACGAAGCTTCGATCTAAAGCCCTTCTTGAATTTGTACATGGCTCAGCTTCTCTTAGAATTAGTTTACACAGTTTTACATCTTTCTGTAAGCGTCGATAAACACTTACCTGCTTCCGTCCGTTGCCAGAAATGATACGTGATCTTAAGTTTGACACAACGAGAAACGAAAGAGGGCTTCCAAGGGAGAAAACACTGTGTAGGAGCTAAAAATTGTGACAAGAATTGATCACTGAAGTAGAATTTATCTATGCTTGTGATAATTTCAAAAGTGCGCCTTTTAAAACTTAGGCGTGTACGTGGGTTGCTGAGCTCTTCCCTGAATGGCTCGTCTAACTGCACGGGTTTTTAGCGCGCACGATTTTTCTAATTAGCACTATGCATCAGAGGCACACTTTTTTGTGGTAAACGCAAACGGCGAATTAACATCTGCGTTCCCTCATTTTTCTCCCACGACAAAATACAGAAGGGCCTCGCAAGTGATACTGCGGCCTTCCCACTTTGTGATTTCTTTCCTTTTACGTTCCTAAATACATTTTTGTGTTCTTGCACGCACATTTTTCGTATAGTTTTCGCATTCTTTTCACTAACGGCGATTTGTTTTCTGCTAAATTTTTTCGCATAATTCTGCTTTGTTTAATTTCTTTCGTAAAAGTTTCTCAGAAAAACAATTGAACATAGGAGTATCAGAGTGCATTAGGTTAACATCGATTCCTTCGCTGCGATCATCTTTTAGTTTTTCTGTTCTTCGTGCTCGCAAGTCACACAACGTTTGTAAGTGTCTTTCCTTGTCCAATTTCCTCTGTTGTTTTGCGTTTTCCTATTCCTTCTCCTTCGTAATAATTTGTAATTACTTGTTCCTTTTTAGCAACAAATGCAAATAAATCTTAAAGCGTTCGCGTGTTGAAACCTGACTTTGTTGGCAGTCACACAAAGACTACAAAAAAAGTGACTTGTCTCACCTATTACATGTTCTCTATCTGCGTTGTGCCATGATGTCATTGAAAATATTTTACACTACATTGTAGTGATTACAATATTTAGATGACGATTTTCAAACAGTTTCTTTTGAATACGTTATAAAATTATTTTAGCTGATTCGTACATGGATAAAAATTACAACATAGATATATTTCACTTCGACGATTATCTTAATAAACAATTAATGGGAATTTCTGAGAATCAGTTGTTAATGCTACATGTTAAATTAATGGTTATTTTCCTCTTCCCGCTTAAGGGCTCTTTCGCAGTTTGGACAACGCCACTTTGCACTTGAACCTTCCAAAATAATTGTTGAAATGCGTTTCCTGTGAAAAAACTCCTTGCAGCTACAACATTTCACACAAAGAGGAGGCTTCGAGTCTGACTCTTCCCTCGGCATTCTACACTTGCACATTACCGAGACCTCTTGAACAAAAAGCGGCCTCCCGTCTCGACACTCGGATACTTTAGAGAGGGGAAAGCGTACGAATGACCCACTCTCCAGGCTCTTTAAAGAATGTTGTCTTATCAGCTTCCTGTCAAATGCCAGATTAGAACGATTGAGGCAATGTGGTAGCGACACCAGAAAAGCAATAGCATAAACTCCACAATCATCGTAATTGTTCTGGTGTTGCACATTTGGTACAATGACCTTAAAACTGGTTCCTTCCTCTTATATAATTGATGCAGTCTGTTTCTGCACGAGGGCTGCAATTCTTCCCGAAAACAGGCTGTCGTACATATAAACTACCGAAGGAGTGTAGCATCCTACAGTAGATACCAACACCCATTGATGGCTTTATCTTTCCTCTCCATTTCCGGTGTTTCCTCCTTTTGACAGATTTCGTGGAGGTGTCACTATGTTGTAGTTGTGATCGGCTATCCGTGAAAAGGAGGCATTGCAAAAATTTTGTGGAGTCTGTAATATATAGGAAAGCAACGAAAAAAAAAGCAAATATCTTACGGCTAATACGAAGTCATGAGCGAAAACGAAGTACGTGTTCGTTTCTACTCTGTTGTGCGGGTCTAAAATGCTAAATAGGGCCTTCATCACGAAAGCAACATTGGGCGAGCTCGGATTTCGCAATCGGAAATCTACCCGAGATGACCTCCTTCTGACGGATTTCGGAGTACGCTTTCCGTATTGGGAACATAGTAATTTTGGGGAGTTATTACATCACGGGCGACGAGCGGGGAATAAAGAAATGACCGAAATACGAGTGGTCAGCGGGGAAAAAAATTTAATACTTCATATAGAGACACCTCAGTTGTAGTTGCAGAAAACAATAGTGTTATAAAGCCGAAATGTTAACAGTATACTTCGCTAAATAAAATGTGAAGCAATTTTTCAAAAGTGTTGATGGCACATATATCTTTTACTGTTGTATTAAATAATGGAGGCATCGGAAAAGGCATCGGTGGCATTCAGAAAGGCACCAAGAAGAATTTTGTTTACGTTTTGTAACTTGCAAAAAACAATCGTATTGTAAAGCCAAAATGTTATCAGGTTATACTTCGCTAATTCAAAAGTTAAGCAATTTTCCAAACACTTTGACTGGAACAATATTTTTACTGCTATATTAACCAACAGAGGCATCGGGAAAGGCATCGGTGACACCGGGAAAGGCATCAAGAAGAATGATATTTACGATATGTAACTTGTTGTATGACGCAAAAAGTATCTTCTATCTACGGTTTGCTTTTCACTTGAATTTTGCAATCTCAACTTTCGATTCCAGAAAAATGAAAAGCTATGCAACTCTAAAAAATTTCGTTCTAGATTTCTATATTTTTAGAGTCACTAATAAGTTTGTTTCCACAGCCCTTAAATAAGAAATTTTAAATTTCCATCAGCTGTAGTTCTTTTAGTGTTTATTATATATATTCAATCGCCTCATTTCAAGTGAAAAAGGCATGTAGGAAAACACTGAGCTTCGAGAAACAGCCAAGTTAAGGCTAGAGTGTTTACCATGCTTAAATATTAATAATCAGGGCCCCTCGTTTAGGAGACCTTTTTCCAGAATATCCAGGCGTTAAAATAATTCTGTTTTCCGTTCGAAGTGTTTTTTTTTCCTATTTTATTTAACAAATGAACTCGGGATGAAAACTTAATTTTCGAAGCGAACGGCAGGTGAAATGTTGTGTTGGTGTCTCTGTCCCCCCACGTCTCTGCGAAAGGTACATCCAGACAACCTGCAAGGAAAAACTGACCACAGCTATCGCACCAAATTAAAAAAAAAATCTTTAAAAATAAACTGGTGAGCAGCACTCTACGAACGGTAGTCGTAAAATTTCTTTATTCTCCGACGCGTTTCGTTTAACTGTCGTAGACTTCTTCGGGGAGTTTTACAATTTAACACTAAACACCTGTATTTATAAGCCATAGTTAGTGGCTATACGGGAGCCAACGACCATAAAGGCTTGGCCACCCTACGAATAGGAAAAGGTGAAGTTGCGGAAAATTTGAAAATTTTTGGGGGCAAGGTGGGAGAATTCATTTGGGGACCACGGTTTTGGTTTTCTTTTTTCGTCACGCAGCAAGTTACAAAACGTAAATATAGTTCTTCTTAGTGCCTTTCCGGATGCCTCTATTGTTTATTACAACAGTAAAAGATATATGCACCATCAACACTTTTGAAAAATTGCTTAACATTTTATTTAGCGAAGTATACTATTGATGTTTCGGCTTTACAACACTATTGTTTTCCGGAACTATAACTGATATGTGTCCATATGATGTATTAAATTTGTTTCCCCGCTGACCACTCGTGTTTCGCTCTTTTCTTCATCCGTGATGTAGTAACTCCAGTAATTTTGCCATGCATGACGTACTTACCAGGCGCAGTTTTTTTTTTTTTAGCGGTAACATCGCTGGCTCAAATCTCTGAGAGAGGATGGTGGACTTGCGATGGCGGTGATGAGAGGGAAGTGAGAATTCGCCTAATGATGCTTTTGAACTGAGTTCTAAAAAGTTTGAATATCGAAGACACTATTGAAATAGGTTTCAGGAGGTTCTGAGCGCAGTCAGGTGAGGAAATATTATTTTTATTAACATTTCATGGTAAAGTTTCCGCATAGCCCCATACTATTGTAAAACAAATCTGTTTTCCCAATGGAAATGTATTGTTTTTATTATTGTTTTCTCTGTTCAAGAACTGAATGTATAATGTAGGATGGGGATGTGCGGAAATTTTACCCTTTATAAAGCTTGCATCGTAATCATTCCTACTCCAATCCAGAGGCTATGGCAAAGAGTGGCCAGGACAGTCAACTGTTAAAACAAGATTTACAATGTGGTTGCTGTTTTGAGCTGATGGTTGAACCTACTACACTTAGTTGTGGACACAGCTTTTGTCGGTTTTGCCTTGCAAAGTGGTGGCATGCATCAAGACACAACACATGTCCAGAGTGTCGGGAACCATGGTCAGGATTCCCAAAAGTTAATATTGCATTACGGTGAGATGAGAACAAGTTTTGTTTTGCAATGCAGTGACTTTTACCTGGACAGCCTCATACTTTGTGAACAAAGTGCGCTACATTCTTACTATGAATGCAAAAAATAAACTTGTTATTCTCCCATATTATAAAGAAGGTTAAGCAGTGCTTTCTTAAAATTTTTAAATTACAAATTTATTTTAGCTTTCTTGCAAAACTTTAAAACTTCAAATACCCATGCACAACATGCTATTGATATGCAAAGTACTTAATTTCATGTTATAAGAGCACCTGACAACATAAAAGCCTTCATTAGGGACTGTTAAATGCAAATTTACAGGCAATATTTCGTAAACATTGCATTAGTTAAGTTTTCATATCAATTACAACATTTTTGTCCACTCAGTTCAGTCTTGAGAAAAAATTCCCATTGCTTTTCTACATTTTACCATCTTGACAAAGTTGTTGAAATGACAATATTATTGGTTGAAAATGTATTCCTTTTTTTAAGGAGAAATTCAATCTACCTTGTAATCACCCCTTGGAGTGAAAGGGCTCATGTTCAAGACAGAAATAAGTGTTGAATTTACTGTATATCATGTAAACTACAAGGAACAAATGTGCAAAACATAGTAATAACATTGAAACCTACTACAGGCTACATTCACTGTGTAAATACTGGAGTGATCATATGATATTACTTGTATGCTGTATAGATGTGGTGTGATATGATATCTTTGATGTTGTAGTGAATTTTTATTTTTCTCCAAATTATTTTCTGGTAGAAAAACTATCAAAGTACTCTTTTCAAAGGAAGAGGTCGAACGAAGATGTTTCCTGGAGTCTTCCCCAGATTTTGGATTAGTGTTGTCCAAGTTTGATGCTCTAGAAAACAAATCTTCACAAAGGTTGCGTAGCAGTCGTGAAGTAGAATTTCTTCAAGGTCAAAATTTGGGGATTACCTTCACAAAGCTTATATTTATTGTTCTCTCTGTCCTTGGCATTGTCATGGTAAGTTACTGTAAAGGTCTTGTATTTGAGGTGGTGTGCGATGTGCTGTTATCTAGCAAATGGCTATCTTACATCATTTGCTATCTTTCATAAACAGCTCTCAAAATAAGCTGTCTTTCTATCATGTCTTAAACAGAACAAAAATTGAACAATTAATGGCTGTTGTGGTGGTAATTTTTCCTCAGCTTGAAATTTGTGGAAACAGTTTTATTATATTTTCCTATTTGCTTCTGATTATGTGAAAATCAGAGCAGAATATTAATCTAACTGGTTTGAAAAAAATTTAAACCAAATTAATTTTGGCACTATAGTAAAGTTAACAGCTTCTAAAAAAATAAACACGTCACAGGTTGTTCTTGTGACTGGATTAGATAGTTTGAATAATCTACAAGGGGTTTGCAACAGATTCTGCTATTTCTATAAGTTTAATTCAAGTGATTGGATTGTTCCTCATGGTCTGTTACAAGTATTTCTAAAGAAAGTGTAGTTATAAAACAATACATCTTTTAATTAAACACCTTCTTTAATTTTTTGTTTAAAGAAATCAAAGTCAACTGATTATGGTATATGATACACTTTTACACCAGTCGTAATTTGTAAAATTTATGATACAAATGTTTTGAAGGGATTGTTATTGTGTTTTAAATCTAGCTATAGTAAATCTTTGTTTCTCTTTTGTTGATTGTAGTTTATATATCATGTCCTAAGTTTGTTCATGGACCAAAGAGATCCTCTTGTCAGAAAACCAGTGCATAAGTGGAGTACACAGAATGTGGCTAAATGGCTTGAAAGCTTGGGTGATTGGGCAGAACTATATGGTGACAGGTTCCAAGATGCAGGAATTGATGGAAACCTCCTGATGTCACTGTCTGAATATGACTTGGAGACTCCCCCTCTTAATGTTGTAGTTTCCTATCACAGGCGGGTACTATTGAAGGAACTTGAAGCATTAAAAGCTGGTGGAGTAAAGCAGCCAACAGATGTGTGGGAATATAAGGTACACAAACTAAGAGGCAATGTTAGAATAATGACACTGATGATTCCCCAACCCTAACATTTTTTGTATGACTGTCATATTCATGGTACTGAAAATCTGAGTAAGTATAGATTATCTATATTTAATGGTAATGTATTTTTTGAAAGAAAAATACCCACTGTTTACATGGCTGTCCACAGCCAAGATATTGTCGGATAAATGAATGTTTGCCAAGAAGTGAAACTTGTTGAGGTCCTCTACTATTTGTTATGTACACATCTACACTGTTCAAAGTCATCAAGCATCATCTTCCCGGGGTCCATTGTATGTGGATCATAACCAGCTATATGCGAGTTTCAAGCCTGATGATGCTAACGTCCAGGATGAGGCCATTTGTGCAATGGAAGATTGTATTAAAGATATAAGGAACTGGCTTCTTGGAGGATGGCTGTTACTCAATGATGATAAAGCTGAATTTCTAGTTATTGGAACTCATCAGCAGTTAAATTAAATCCATCAATACTTCATATAGGTGATCATATGATTGATCCTTTGGCCAACATTAGGAATTTAGGAACAATATTTGACAATTTAATTAGTATGGATGCTCATATAAATCAAATTAGTAAGACCACTTTTTACCATATTCACAATATTTGTAGAATTTCTAAATACCTTTCTCAGGAATCCCTTAAAGCATTAGTTCATGCTTTTGTTACATCCAGACCCAATTATTGTAATAGCCTACTTTATGGCCTTTCTAAATATCATATAAGTAAACTATAACGTGTATGGAATGCTGCAGCCAGATTTATAATGAACACTAGATAGTATGATCATATCACGCCAGCTTTATATAACCATCACTGGCTACCTGTGTTTTACTGTATTTATTTTAAGATTTTAATTATTACATTTAAGGCTATATATAATATGTCACTTAGCTACATTAGTAACTTAGTGTCCATTAAGTCATGTTCTGTTCATTCCCTTTGATCCAATTCTTCATTATTTTTGGACTGCCAAGGGGCGCATGCTATCTACATTAGGAGCTCATTCATTTTATGCTTCTGCCCCCACACTGTGGAACATCCTTCCAGAAAATATTTGGGAAATCACTCAGCAAAATTAAGAAAAAACTTAAGACACATCTTTTTAATTTAGCTTACAACAAGTAACTTTTCTTGGGGGTGGTCAATTGTGTATTTTTAGTATAGATAGATACATATATAGATATAGATATTTCTGATAATTCATTATATTTGCTGTATTTTATATATAGTTTTAAATTCATGTCAAGCACTTTTGATCATTTTAATGTTAAAAGGCATTATCTTAAGTGAATAATTATTATTTATTGAAACTTCCAGGGCAAATGTGAAATTTGAGGAAAATCTCACAGCCAAGGACAACAACAGCTAACATACCAGAAAGCCAAAAAGGGGATATATTTACTAAATAAAGCTCCCATTAATTTTCATATTGCACATTGACAGCAAATTCTATTGACTCTTTTTTAACTTTACCAAGCAGCAATTGAGATCAGCTATTTCTTATAACTATCACTGGACTCTACAGAGCGAGTTTTCTTTTCTTCTATGTCAAGTAATAAATATGAAAAAGTGAAAGTATTGAGCTGGCTTTTTCTTTCTGGCTTTGGGTTTTTTTTTTACAGAAATAATCAGACAATTATTGAGGTAGATGGGGTTATTGTGTGAAAACTGTGTGGTGAATTAATGGGTGGGTTATGATGAAAAATACTTATTAACTGGTAATCTTAAAAATGTGATTTCAAAAGAATGATATCTTGTATAAATTTAGATCTTTGGATGTAGACCATTTTTTCCTTAATTTAGTTTGTTTAATTCCAGGCTGCTTATCCTGTGCGTGCAATACTTCTTCTTTGGGGTTTACGTGAGTTTCCAAGGTTGACAGTCTTCTACACATTCTTTGCCTGTAACCAAGATGTTTTTCAACCTCTGTTATATTATACTAGTGAAACCAACTTTGAAGGAAGTATATTTGAGGTGAGGGCTTGAAAATATTATAAATAACCTGCAAATGTATTTCCAACATCTAATTAATAACTTAAAGGAACTTTCCAAACAAAATGTGTTTATCTTGTGTGTCTGGGTAGTTTTACCCTGTCAAAGCACTCAACAAGTGAAAAGATAACTAATGTTCACATGTGTATTTTACTCTGATCATATTTAACATATCCTTTGAAGGAGAATGTAATTTGAAAGGAAAAAAAATTTAAAAGAAAAGATAAAGAAATAAAAGAAAAAAGTTGAGGTGACTATGGCTTGGAACCTATACCTTTGGACACAAAAGGAGTAGGTGTATTGGGGTTAAGGTTAGCTTTAGGGTCAGGCTTGTGCTAGGTGCTTAGGTAATTTCCTGCCCTGTCCCCAGTGTGTCATTTTACCATTGTACAAACTCTGCTTTACCTAAGTCCTCCTTTTGTCACAATTTTGGCATAAATGAGAGCTGTTCAATAACCCCTCTTCATTTTACACCACATTTCTTTCTTACTGCAATTCTCTAGAAGTACAACTATATGATAGAAGGCACATTCAGTTATAGACTGCCTTTTATTATATGATGGACTCCAGGGTTTTCAGCATTAATGCCCTTAATATCCATATGCTCTATACACCTGAAAAAGAGGTTGACCTAAAGGAAACACAGGGTGAAAGATTGAAAAAAGGCAATGGATTTGAAATATTATGCTTGATCAGATATTTATCCTGGCACAGTTAATTTATGATGTAATGTTTTGGGAGTAGGAAGAGATTTTTAGAGTGAGATTAATCCAATTTCCTTTTGGTAGAATTTCCTAAGATTGGGCTTTTGCTATTGCTAATTAATGAGAAAAATTAATGGGACTAGTTTAAATGTAAAGGTATAAAAAACAAAAATTTGCATGCTTTGTCCTTTGTAACCCTTTTTTCTTTTTTTACTTTAAAATGATCAACAGCACAAATTTCACATGTTGTAAAAACTGTGAAAGAATTCAATTCAGCCAATTGGAGAAAAACAAAATCAAAGCAAAATTACCACTAGTGAGCACCTTTCTTTGTGGCAGTTAAGCTCAAGAAAGGAAACCTTTATGTTGATATTAACTGCAGAAAGCAACAGTTGGACCCTTATTAGCTACATTTTGGTAACTTTTAGTGATCTTGAAAGCAGAAACATAAAAAATTGTCCATGAAAAGAATGTTAGGGTGTGCATCCATGATAATCAGGCTAAAAGTCTATGGAGCCACCCTAAGCTTGCACCTGATTGGTTGACCAGTAAATTGTAACTGTGATCTGCCCTAAATATTTTTATCTGATGTCAGTAGTAGCTCATGAAAAGGGAAGTAATTGAGGAAGTGGATTTTTTAATTGCTGTCATTACTCTTTCCCTACTTGTTGAGACAGTTCTTTTCCATGAACTAACTGAAACCTTCTGTGTTTTCAGGCAACAGTCATTCCTTCAGAAGAGTATTTACGATTCGTTTTGCGTCTTATTTTGGTTCCCTATTACCTGATTGGAAAATTCACTCTAAAGTGGATCTATCTTAATTACTTTGTTGGAGCTGTTGTACTCATCTACAGTGTTCTTATGAGCCTTAATGAGTTTTCAAAGCTGAGATGGCTGTTGATGATGGGGGGATGGAGGTAAGGTTTACTATATAGTTTGTGCAGGGAATGAGCAGGGAATTAGTAGGGAATGAGCACTACAAAACAGATCCCAGCCAAAGCTGTTGCATTGTGGCTTTGTTTTTGGTGAAGTATCAGAACTTTATGTATATACAAAGGGAAGATACTCACATAGTGATGTTCACTATTGGTTAAAGCTTTGAGATCATTGGAGGTAAGATTTGATATATTATTTAGGTTTATTTCTAAAGTGAGATGTACTACTTTGCAATAAAATATCTTATCATGGAGGAGCTTCCAAACATGGACTTTTGGAAGGTTGTTACAAATTAATGATATATCACCAGGAATGGCTGAAGTTATTTTCATTTGCACAGGCAACTACCAGGACTGTTTATTGGAATCATTATTACAGCTTCTGTGAATGGATTGTTTCACCTTGCTCTATGGAGTTTTCTTCCATCCTTCATTTGTGACATTGCATTTTACTGGATGCTACTCTTGGCACCATACGCTGCCTGGCATAGCTTTAAAGTGGGTTTGGCTAATGGTGAAGTCCACTTTCATCCTGCAAGAGACTTCTTTTTATGGATTTGGAGAGTGCTTCATCAGTTGAGGACAGGATAACACTTTTGATCCATATATAGAAATAACTAGTGCATCAATAGAAATGTTTTATAGATCTTTAGTTAACTCTCTATTTTAGCTACCAGTTCCTGTTAGTTAGCTGTGCTGTAATCTTCATATCTTTGGGAAATGTCTGCATGCAATGTAACTTACATTTAATGGAATGACTAAGCATGGATCATGCACAAAACATATCACCAATAACTGGCATGGGAAACAACCACCACCTTTTCATCAAAGAAAATTATTGTTACATAGTCACTTCAAGACATAATCACTAAATCCATTAAAAGTGTTCTTCAGTTTCTTACACTATCCTTAAAGGGGGGCTCATTACAACCAAGTGTTAATCTTGTCCAGTGAAAGTGCATTCCAAACCATCTCTAACTCAGCCAAATGTTGATTTTTGTGGGCAACATTAAGGAGGCCTGTAGCTAACACTGGAAAGACCCTTCTTTTTTTTTTTTTTAAACTTTAATCCCTCAGCAAATAAAGAACTCTCCAGATCCATGAGTTATCCAAAACTGCAGCATATGGTAGAATTTTTCTACATCTTGAGCTCCAGTACTTTTTCTTTGTGTCTTAGGATGGATAAGAATAATTTTCTGCAAGACTATCTAACACAATTCAGGGACTAATTTAACCATTTCATTACAGACTAATTGTCTTAAATTGAGTAATAAAATACTAGTAAGGTTTTCCTTTTTGTCCCAATGCATTCCACATTGATTTTCAGGATTTGTAAATTTATAGCAATGCGTTAGGCTTAAGGGAATAATGTTTCACCCAGAAGAATTTGTATGAGGATTCCCATTTTAAGTGGCACTAGGTTTTTAGACTGGTGGTCTCCCTCAATATTAACACAAGCTGGCCATTCAATTATCATAAGAAATGCAGAACACCAGTAACGGAAAAATATTGTTCTCGCAATGTAACTGTTTCTGGCACCTATTTCTCATAGCTTTTAATACCTCATTTTACAACATAGAGAAGGTCATTGTTACAAATTTAATTTGTATCCAATCCTCTTACTACCGCCTTTAAATATAAAATACTTTTGTGGAGTTCAGGGCTTCGAAGTAGATTTCAGTTCAGTTTTGTTCAGCCAAAACCAAAGAAATTACTTGTTTCTAAAGCTAGAAAGGAAAAGCAACAATTTTGCAAAGAGTCCAAAGTGAATTTAAGCTTGGGAGAACTTGACTGAGTAAGTTTCAGTATTGTTGTGAATCTCATTGACAGGGAAAGCCAGTTTCTTGACTAAAAACAGAGAACAGTGAACAGCAATGGGTCATAGGGGTCTACCAATAATTATTGTAATGACACTAGGCCAGTAACTCTACTGTTATTATTATTTGGCCAAATAGCTTAGATACAAACTAAACCCAACGAGAGAACTGTTGTGAAGTTAATTTCTAACAAAGAGGCTTAACTGTCAATTCAAATACATATATTACATCTTGCTATTGTGATACATAAATGGAGGCAATTTCATTTACACCATAGTAGTGTCTTCTTTTGCAAAAAAGAAAATTCAGCTTTTTCAGAGCACACAAGCCTAACTAACCATATTATTGGGTGGGATAAGTCTAAAATTATCACTACTGATGGACGTTACCACCAGCGCCTTTGTTTGGAAGCTTGGCATATCAACTCAGCCCACACTCCTTAAATCGTGATGATGGCAGCTTACTAAATGATGCCTATTTACACTTAGTCAGGGAAAAAAGGCAGCTTATTCATGAGCATCTAAAAAGACCTCTTGTTGCAACAATTAAGTCACCCCTGATGAAGACACTAGACAGGAGTGTTGAAATGTTGGGTCTATAAATTGTAACTTCTCGGTTACAATCATTAAATCTTTAAACAAGAGTAGCATCTAACCATGTCTCATGTACAGAGTTTTGGGGTCCTTCATAGCTAGAGAACACTCACTTTAAGAGGAACTAGAAGGACCAACTGGTAATAGGAATTTCAAACTGGATTTGAAAAAGTCTTGCGTATACTCCTTACAACATTTGGTAGCTCCAGTTTCAGAAACCCTTCCACACACACGCAAGCACACGCAATTACCACTGATGACACCTGCTGATATAGAATGAGGCACTTATCATCAACATTACGACATTTACAAACTCATTTATCACACTTGGATTATTTTGTTCTGTGGAAGGATCCTTTTAATTACCAAAAGTATCAGTGAGTAGGGTTATATGCGTAACTGAACATTACAAATGACCTTTCCCGAAGGCGGGCTAAAAATGACGCTTTGCACAGACGCAACCGCGTGGATAACTTTGCTTCCGCAAATCAACTTTTGTAGTTAATTCCGCTTTTTTTCTTATTCTAACAATTTCTCGTCTCAAAAAAACTATTCCGCAAATATTCTGTACGTTTCTTTCAGATGCTGATAGATATCCTTTCAATCTCGTTGGCTGGGATCTTTGAATCTACTTCATCTCCGCAAATTCGGAAAATAACATCAGTGTTGTGCGGTATTTTCAAGGTGGCACAATAGGAGTTCCACAACAATCCGCTTCCACCCCGCTCGATCAAGGATACATAGACTTGTGGACTGTAGCCAAATAAAGCCCACGTCATGCCCAACACACGACTTCTCTGATGCGAAAACACTAACGCCTCACACTTCCTCCGATCGAGAGAAACCTCCGCGCATTCTTTCAAATCCCCGTAAAGCTGTCTCCCTCCGTTCAAATGAATTATATCCCAAGTTCCTGTCGTGGACAGAACATTTCTGATCTGATGCATCTGTGAATGGGACAGTTTTCCTGAAATCCAGGATGGCACGACTGATTCTGACAAACTTTGTAAGAAGCCGCGACTAAAGCTTTCAATGAATTTGTCATGATCGGCACTCGGTTTAACTACAACGCTATTGTTTGCTATTTGTTCATCTAGCTCAGCGTTTCCGTTACAGAAAACGACTCGGCTGTGGAACAAATTCTCTGCAACGTAAACCTCTTTTCTACTTAAATAATCTCTCAGAAGACGAGCCTTAGCTTCAGTCTCTGTAGCGCTATTTTTGTGTTCAATTTGGTTAGTAGTGAAGGAGTTTGTCGCGATCTGCTTCGTTCTCGTCTGGATCCATTTTGAGCCGTCTTCACTTCTCGTTATAGTGCCGGACCAATATTTCACCTCAATACAAAATATTCCATCTGCGGTTAGAACCACTACATCGATTTCTCGTTTCCGTGCTTTATATCTGTCTGGAATCCTTAAGCAGCAAAACAAATTTGATTTGTCAAGCCCGCTCTTCAAACGCAGATCGGACACAAATGATACTTCAGCGTTGCGACCAGCTTTCACATGCTCCTCTTCCAAATGTTCTTGTGGATTTGCAGCTTGGTTGGCTTGTTCTAAGCGTTTAGATATTTCAAACATGTTTCTATACCACTGGAAGCTAAAAGTTTTCCTCCCATACGAAAGAAAGCATCTTTCTTAAAGTGTTATTAATCAAAATAATTTTACTTTAGCAAAATGACGCAACGCAATGTTTATGATAGGCTTGCGAAGCCCTCTGGGAATGGTGACCCGAAAAGCTAGAACGATGGAACGGTGGAACGATGAAATGGTGGAACGATGAAATGGTGGAACGATGAAATGGTGGAACGATGGAACGATGAAATGGTGGAACGATGAAATGGTGGAACGGTGGAACGGTGGAACGATGGAACGGTGGAACGATGAAATGGTGGAACGATGAAATGGTGGAACGATGAAACGGTGGAACGATGGAACGACGGAACGATGGAACGACGGAACGATGGAACGACGGAACGATGGAACGATGGAACGGTGGAACGGTGGAACGGTGGAACGACGGAACGGTGGAACGACGGAACGGTGGAACGACGGAACGGTGGAACGGTGGAACGGTAGAACGGTGGAACGGTGGAATGGTGGAACGGTGGAACGGAGGAACGGTGGAACGGTGAAATGGTGAATGGGTAGAACGTTCCAACGGTCAAACGGTCCAACGGTCAAACGTTCCAACGTTCAAACGCTCCAACGTTCCAACGCTCAAACGTTCCAACGTTCAAACGGTCCAACGGTCAAACGGTCAAACGGTCAAACGGTGGAACGGTGGAATGGTGAAATGGTGAAATAGTGAAATGGTGAAATGGTGAAATGGTGAAATGGTGGAATGATGGAATGGTGAAATGCAAAAAATGGCGAAAGGACGAATGGTGGAATGGTGGAATGGTGAAATGGTGAAATGAAATGGCGAAGGAGAATGGTGAAATGGTGAAATGGTGAAATGGTGAAATGGTGAAATGGTGAAATGGTGAAATGGTAAAATGGTGAAATGGTGAAATGGTGGAATGGTGGAATGGTGAAATGGTGGAATGGTGGAATGGTGGAATGGTGAAATGGTGGAATGGTGAATTGGTAAAATGGTAAAATGGTAAAATGGTAAAGTGGTGGAATGCAACAAATGCCAAAACACCATCATGCCACTCTTTTACTGAGTGGTATGAATAATAATGAACCATCATGCACGAAAGATGGCTGCGTGTTCGCGTTGTAAACCACTTTAATACGAGCGTTTCTTCTTTCACGAATAAGTTTTAGGCCTCGAGTAAAACGAGGTGAAGAGAGGTTTGCAGGGGGTCCTGCGCGTGAGAATTTCTAATGGCGTGAAAAGAAAAAAGAAATTTAGCAGAAGGTAGCCGTTAAGAAGATTTTGGGGAATTTCTTCTCAACCAGGTGTCCAGAACAAATCGTCAACTCCATGGCGTTTAAATTGCCCTACCTGAAAGGGAAGTGTAATTCAGACGGATCTCTGGATTGTCATGGCTTACCATTATTCGCATGAGCAGTTGCGAGACAAAGAAGAGGCTATCGGTCGAGGATCCTATGATTTGGTTTTTGTGGAGAAGAACAGTCCTGAGAAGATCGTTATCAAGAAGCTATTAGGTGAGGACGAGAAGGAAAAGCGTCTATTCCTCAAAGAAGCAAAAATACCCCAAGGGATTACAAGTGAACATACTGTTTAGTTTAAAGCTGTGTACATGGAACCCTGTGCAATGATGCTTCAATATTTGTTTTTCGACTTCGCTCCCTTCGGCGGCTCAGAAATTGTTCGCAGTCTAGACCAATTTCTTTAACAATTTTTTAAAACAATTTTTTAAAACTGAACATAAAGAGTAGCACTCTGCGAATAGTAGCTGCAAAACTTCTTTACTCTCCGACGCGTTTCGTGTAACCGTCGTAGACTTCTCCAGGGAGTTTTACAAGTTGAAACTAAATGGCTGTATTTATAAGCCATAGTTAGAGGCTATACGGGGGCCAGTGACCATAAAAGCTTGGCCGAACATACGAGCAGGAACAGGCGAAGCAGGAACAGGCGAAGTTTTGCAAAATTTGAAATTTTTTTGGTTTTAGAAATTTTTAAAAATTATTAAAAAAATTAACTAAAAATTGTTTTTAAAAACATGACATCCGTTCCGTGTTTTAGGATTTGGGATCATTTTTCGCCGTTCCGTGTTTTAGGATTTGGGGTCATTTTCCGCCGTTCCATGTTTAAGGATTTGGGGTCATTTTCTGCCGTTCCACGTTTTAGGATTTGGGGTCATTTTCCGCCATTCCACCATTCCACCGTTCTACCGTTCTACCGTTCCACCGTTCTACCGTTCCACCGTTCCACCGTTCCACCGTTCTACCGTTCCACCGTTCCACCGTTCCACCGTTCTACCGTTCTACCGTTCTACCGTTCCACCGTTCCACAGTTCCACAGTTCCACAGTTCCACAGTTCCACAGTTCCACAGTTCCACAGTTCCACAGTTCTACCGTTCCAGCTTTTTGGGTCACCTCTGGGAATTTAATTTGGATCGGGTTGTTGTCGAATAATGAGCAAACTACTGTATTAAGTTGTTACTGAAGAACTTTCGCATTGGCGTAGGAGTTGATACGGGGTAGGATTTGATACGGTAGGTGAGAGTGTTTTACTTTGATATGAAGCAGACTGAAACTAGAATAGACTGTGTTATTACTTTGAGAGGAGGGCTGTAATGAACGTCCGAAGAAGACTTTGATTACGTTATCGTTTTGTTTTGATTTAAAAGTTCTGTCTTGTTTCTTTGTCGAACTTACGCCCCAATTTTCTTAGCGTACTATTGTTCATAGTTTGAATTCCCTACTTAGCTAGCATTCCTGATGAACCAGTTTGCAACTGTACGCGTGAACTACACCCTTATGGTGGTACGCCCTTTAAGAATCGTGTTAGTTGGAGTTGGGAGATCGACGGAAAAAGATCTGAGTTATTTTTACATAAGATTGTTCCAGTTACGTAACGTTGCAGTTTCTCTAGGCCCGTAAAGACAGGATCAGACGTAAGTCCTAGCCTGTTGTATTTAGTTTCCTTTTCTTTTGGATCTCGCTTGTTTTGTAATTAGTCTCAGCCCATTTGTTGATCTTCTACATGGCAATTTCCCCTTTTTAGTTTTCACCGCATGTGTATGATAGTCAGACGATAGCACTAGACGTTGTCGAATCAACTTGTGTTGACAATTCCTACACTGTGGTTGACGCTCCCCAAACTCCAGTGCACAACACCCCGGTGCTAAAATTCCTTTGAGAGACCTCGGTTGTTAAGTCCAAGGGTTATACTTGGTTGTTCTTTACTCTACTGGTACGGAATAAAACAGAATAATTGAACGCGACTGGAAGTAGACAGCAACGATCTGCTGACTGTAGTCATCGCCAGACCCCTGCTTTCTGTTTGTCTGATTTTAATGTTGCTTTGTACCGTATCAACAGTATTAATTCAATTTTCAGCATGATGACAGAAAGCAAACCGAAGCTGTACTGTGCCTGGTTCTGTCCATTTGCACACAGAGCATGGATTTCAATGTTAGCAAAAAAAATTGATTTTGATTACGTAGAGCAGGATCCTTACAACAAGTCTGCTGAGTGGCTAGCCATAAACCCTCGTGGATTAATACCATGCATCGTTCACAATGGCAAGTCAATCTATGAGAGCCATATTTGCATTGAATACGTTGACGAGGCCTGGCCTAACGCACCAAGGCTACTGTCCCGAGAACCTTATCAGAAAGCTAAGGCACGAATGTGGGGAGATTTTATCATAAAGAAGCTTATTCCACCATATTACAAATTCCTTATGAAGCAGTCTCGGGAAGAGCAAAATGAATACCGAGAAATATTTTTAGAAAACATATTGGAATTTTCTCAGGCAATGGATCAGTCAGGCCCCTTTTTTCAAGGAAAGGAACTTGGATATGTTGACATCATGTTTGCCCCATGGGCTTCAAGGATGTACATTCTGGAACATTACCGTGGCTTTAAAATTCCACAGACTGAAGAATACAGCAGATATAATGTATGGGCAGAAGCAGTAATAAATCACCCTTCAGTAAAAGCAGTTCAGGCAAATAAAGATAAGGTTTTGGCAAATGCTAGGCCTTATGCTGAGGGTAATGCCAAATCTGAGCTTGCAGATGCTGTTCGCAAAGGGTCAACAATTCCTTAGAAATCCATTCAAAGAGTAATAGGAGGATGTTTTCTTGGTTGGGTGGTGATGTGTCACAACAAATAGTGTAATTTTGGACTGAGAAAAAGAAAATGTTTAATTATATGTACCAACAGGAATGGGTGTTAAAGAAAACACTTATTACTACGATCAGCAATTTAATGTTACTGAAAATACTTTGCCAGTCCTGTAATCGTGGCTGTCAGCTTTAACTTTGTATGTGTCATACTCTCATCCCAGCATAGTTCACATATTGTTAGTTGCTTAGAATAGGAATTAGGTAGAGTAACAAATTCATCTGGTACATTTTTTGACTTTTTTAAGAACTGTGTATTCTGTGTTAAACTTCTACAATATTTTCTGTGGGACATTCTCAGACCACTCACAGCTAAAGAAGAAAGTACTCTAGAACATAAACCACAAAATTTATTGAACATTTATTTTTGTTTGCTATACATGTAAGTTTTGGCATGTGTAAGGTCTAACTTTTGAAATTCTGAAATGTGAAGTTATCTTCAGATATTTAACCTTTCAACTCCCAAGTGATTAACAAGTAACTTCTACTAACAATATCCAGTGTGCTATCCAGCAAACAGATAATGTTAATACTCAAATGTATTGGGTAGAAGTTATCTTCATCTAACTCCAAATTTTTGCAACTTATTTCCAAGAAAAATGTGTAGAAGTTAGAGGGGAGAATTAACAATTAGATCTTGGGAGTTAAAGGGTTAATACAGTGTAATCTGTCTTGACTGTGATCAACACAAAAATGAGGCAAGCTCTCTAGTTTTAAGACAATTTTATCATCAGTTGAAATACATTTGAAACAGAGGCATGAGAGTGTTACAGCACATAACAAACCAAAATACTCATCTATCAGGGCTTATGCCGCATTCACACCAAAGCTTAAACATGTTTAAAAGTTGTTTTGTTAAACACAGTTTAATTTTTTTTTCTTTTTAGAAACTATTTAACCGAATATTTTTGACTTGAATGTAGCACATTGGAAATGCAAGTTAGCAAGTACTTGAATCCAATGGAAAATCAAGTTTTCAGTGCTCTGTTTATAATTTTCATTCAATGAAAACCAGTTTAACAAAACATGTTTTGCTGGTGTGAATGGGGTATTAGTCACCTTTGGGTTAAATCTTTTCACCTGCCAACCTATTCATACCATTAAATTTTGATACGTGGATAAGATTCTGCTGTTTAGGCACGTCTATTATAATTATGCTTAAGCACATGGATTCGACTAACAAACAGAAAAACAGGGTAAAGGATAGGGTAAACACTGAAGTTTTGAGAACCCGAGGAGAGGGAATCACCAGAGTCAAGTCATCATGAGAGTCACCTGACCCTGTTGGTGACTTCCTTGGGCTGTCAAGACTTCAACAGTCTTTTTGAGGATTACTCTCAACCCAGTGATCTGAAAGCACCATCTCCTGGGCATGTTGTAATGAAGCAATGCTTAACCAATAGGTTCATTTCCACTTTCCCTTGAAGGTAAAAAAAATTACATGATCTGTATGCAGAAGGTTTCCATCTACATTACAATGACAGATAATTAACATTACTGCACACACATATCAAGAGCTATTAGATGGATTTATGGGGCAAGATTTTAATTCTGAAAATTCCAGCTTCAGTACATGATCCAAGTGAAATAAGAAGGTTAAGGGTTAGGCCCTTCCTTTCTGATGGGATCAAAATGAAATACCAGTAGGATGATTAAGGCATTGTCCCTCCCTTTCTGATGGCATCAGCAACTTGAGATGTAGCACTGGCATCTGCATATCTTTTGTAAGAATCTAAAAGTTTGCTTTCATCTTGCAATGTAACCTTCACAGCAGAGGCATTTCTTACAGCTTCACACCAGATATGGAATCTTTTGAACTCCTCACTTTTAGGAACTTCAAAGCAACGATAATGCTTGAGAATAAAGAACCTTACTGCATGGGGAGCCAACATGATGTCAACATAGCCCAACTTTTCACCCTGGAAGAAAGGTCCTTTAATATCCATGGCTTTCACAAACTCAAGTAAGTGACTCATCAATTGAGATTTAATCTCCTCTTGCTCAGACTCGTTTTGTTTCATCAAGAGGGCATAAAAGGATGGAACAATTTTCTTTCCAATAAAATCTCCCCAAATTCTTGCATGGGCTCTGTAATAGGGATCTGCAGGTAGCAGTCTTGACCCTGTTGACCATGTTTCATCGACATACTCAATGCATACTGAACTTTCATAAATTGTTTTGCCTTTATGAACAATAACTGGTACCATTCCTCGAGGATTGATGGTCAACCACTCTGATGTTTTGTTGTAAGGGTCTTGTTCTATGTACTCAAATTCTACACCCTTTGCTACCAAAGCAATCCAAGCTCTTTGTGCAAAAGGGCAAAACCATGCAGAGTAAAGCTTTGGCACAGATGCTATAGCCATTGTCTGAACCGGTTCTGAAAATATATCTACAGATATTTCGGAGAGATTTCTATGTAACTCGTTCCCAGGGATTTCACGGTCAGTTCTCAAGATTAACAGCATCATGGTGATGCTGATGACCAGAGAAGACTTGTGTGGATGGCGGAGACATTACAGGAAGAACCTTGCCTCCTGTAGCCCCCATGCAGGTTGGGTGAACCAAAGTGCCTAAACAAGTCTAGGGACTGAGTACTACAAAATTCGTTCCCACAACCAACGATGACATTTAAGGTATCGGGGAAAGACAAAGTTCACAATTAACCTTGCAATTCACATCCACAATAGATGCAGTATTTCTAAACAATGACCACCGTATACTGGTAGGTTTGACACTGTAATTAGGAATTGTGCTCGATGACGTATCATCGATGTTCTCGATGTCACTCATTCTTTCTCTTAAACAATTGTAGAGGTTTAGTTGACGAGAGTTTTTAAGTGAAATTATTACTTAGTTGAATTTCAAGATTAGGTGTAAGCACCCCTTAACCCTTAGATTTCATTTGTAATTCTACTTACTGTCTACCATATAGTTCTTGTGATGTTTGTTTAGAGAATTTGGTCTTGGATCGACTGATAATCCCCAATTATAAATTCTCTTTATTCTTATCACTTGCCTGCTTGATATTGTATTGATATTGTAAGGAGAAATTCTGTCTGCGTCACTCATGGGAGTTCAACGGTTATTCCCTCCCCTCCACTCCCTAACCAGAAGTTTAACAGGGAAAAAGGAAACGAGTGTTAAGTTCAATGTCATTCACGTGAAAACTGAAAATTACGAGGCAGTTGCAGATTTCACTTCAAAACACATCCCAACCCTTGAGCTTGAATGCTCAACCTTTAAACACAATTGGAGAAAGACTGAAAAAACAAAATCACAGTTGACTGAAAATTTATTTTGGTCCTTGACAATGTTTAAGTCTACAGTCTACTTCTAAAACGCTTATGGAGTAATTTTTCTAATACACAGAACTATCCTCTAATAAGAAAAAAAATCATCTAAATAGCAACTGAAAAGGATAAGCTAAAATCAGAACTGAACATGGAGTTCCCATCAGCCTGAACTTGTGGATATCAAATGAAAACTAATTTCAAAGCAAATAACCATCATTCAATAAAATGTCAAAGAAGAGCAGTAGAAAGTTACGTAGGTTTAGCTTTGCTCTTGATTAAGACCACCCTGCAGTCTGCTGTACTTGTCCCTGCCCAGCATTTGTAGCTTGTTGCTGGTAAGCTTGGTAGGATGGCTGAGAGTATGTAGTAGTTTGGTTGTACTGCTGCTGTTGCATGAGAGGCTGGGGTGGATTTGAGTGGGAAGGAGGAGGACCTGGTGGAGGTGGAGGAGGTGCCTGGTGTGCATATGAATTGCTGTAATTATTGTAGCCTCCTCCTCCTCCTCCTCCCCTCCCATCATATTGTGCTGTTGTGTTCCCATATGGTTCCATGAGCCATTCTGTTGTGAGTGACTCCTTACCCCACGAGAGTCTTGACTTCGGTTGGAATTGAATGACTTGTTGGCACTGGACATGTGACTGCCACCTCTGCCAGAGGAACCCCGACCTCCGCCTGAATAGCTTGAATGTCCCCCTGATCTGCTTCCAGTACTACTCCTTGAATCACTGCGGGAATCCCCATAGTTGTTCCTGTTAAAGTGACCACTATTCCCCAGTGCAGATTTGTCACGAAAACGACTTCGCCCTAAAGAAAAATAATAGAAAAACTAAAGAACAACTAGTGCCAAATTTGGGAAGTTCAAGGTGGCACAATGGGAGGAGAAGTGGAGGGGGAGAGTATATGAAAGGCTTCATTGCGTGATATTTAAGAAATATAGGACAAGTGGCACATTGACAACCCCTCGTTAAATGGACGACACAATACACGAGTTTTATTTACTGTTGTCTTCTAAGTAACTTAAAAATAGTTCACCAACCTTACAATACAACCAAACCATGCCTAAATAACCCACCTGACCAACATTTTACTTATTTAAAGAAAAAACTTCTCTCTTTTAATCAATGACATGTAAGCTACATGTGGCAACATTTAGGCAGAGGAGCAACATACAGTAGGCTTGCTTACCTTTACCAAACATTCCCTTTGCTTGTTCTGCAAGTGCAATTAGCTTTGGGTTAACATGTTGGTTTGCTTCCTTCAAAATGGAAATTAAATCTTTAGCCTGCTTGGCATTTCCAACAGTGAAGAAAGTGTATGAGGTCCCGGTGCGATCAGACCTTGCTGTCCTTCCAATGCGATGCACATAATCTTCTGAGCAACTTGGGAAGTCAAAATTGATGACAAATTTGATGTCGGAAATATCTATATAATGCAATGAATCGACATCTTGTCATGAAATGAACACTAAGATGAGCTTTCAGTTAAAGAGGGCATCAAAACCAAATGCCAGCTCCCTAATCCTAATTCTCACAAGATATTAGAAAAGAGCTCCTAGTACTCATGTGAAGTAGATCGTTTGAACCCAACAGAGATGATTGTGTAGTCTGATTGTCCAAGTAAGAGTAGGCCTGAAAATAACTGCTGTCACTAGTGATAACTGACATTTCAACCTGCACTAAGTCATCACCAGAGTAAAGTTGAGAGTTGTTTGTCAAGAAAGAATCATTAGTCTTGTCTGTGGAAATCACCTGGTCAGTTCTACTGTGATGTGGTTGGCACAAGACTCCAGAAACTTCTGTCCACCTAATTGATCAGTTTTTATGTCAGAATTGATGGGTTGCCTTGTTTAGTTTGTTTATGGGTAAATGTTGTGAAAACAACATTTGTATGATGCCACTAATTGATGACAACAACTTACAGATGACTTAATAACTTGTACCAGTCATAACTATAACATAAGCCAAGTTCAGGACTACTCTTACTTAAAAGATCAAACTAGACTAACATGGTTCACAATTCCTATTTCAATTCTAATAGTTTCCACCAGTTTTCAAAGCAGTGCAGAACTATACCAAACATACAATTTGACCACCAATTTGGTACTTCTCCAAACAAACTTGCCTGAATACTAGAGCTATCATTTCTGCTCTGGGAGCCGGCATAAAAAAATATTCACCAGGTTACACTTGAAGCAGGAACCAAACCATGACTCAGCGCGTCCAGATGATTGGGAGGGAAGGAACAGAAAAGAGGGTTTCTCTTTGACACATTAAAAGCAATGCAGGCATATCTGCCTGCTGCTTAAGGTGAACAGAATGCAAACTTTGTGGGCCCTTTTGATTCAGCACTACATTGCGACACAACATAGAAGATATAGGATAAGGTGCAACAGAATTAGTAAATTTACCTGCAGGTTTTTTAACTCCATTTTAGTTACATAACATGTGCATAAGAGACTTTCTGTATACAAAACAGAGAAATTTTGACCTAATGCACTGAACGTATAAGTCAAAGCCCAGTGCTTTATTAATATTGACATCTTCATTAATTGTTTGGATGGAAAATAAATACTAAGCTGACAGCAAGTTGCCTTTGATGTTTTAACACTGGAGTTGTTTTCAAGGAAATAGTAAGTCAGAGCACTGGACTTTGACTTAAGAGCTTGAGGTTGTACAGATAGTACATTTATGCAACAAAAGCTGAATCTGCCAGGACCCACAAATGTTTACATTACTGTGGAACCTAACTCCATCTGTACAACCATCAAACACAACTCCACTGTTTGCTCTTTCTTCAACACAGTTTAATTGAAATTCAAGCTTTGATTCTAGTCTCATGTTCATGGAAGCACAGATAAATAAGACCAGCAGCCAGCATTCTAGATAGCAGTAGCTATTCATGAATGCAATTGCCACCACAAGTAACTAAAAAGAGGAGGCACTATATTTTCCTACCAGAACACAAACTTTTACCACAGCAAACTAAAAAGTATCTGGAGCAATAAATGTTCTCCTATTGTGAAAATTCTATTTCGCCAGTTGTTTCTGTAACTTGAGAAATTTCCTGAGATGTAGGATATTTTATAGCTGTATGCATAAGTGCTTCTGACAGTGGCCCACAAGATTGCAAAGTAAAATTTATTTTTTACACTTTTATGGAAAGAAAATTCTGGTATCTATGCAAGCTAAACATCTTAAAAAAGAAGGAGTTATTGAAACTGCTCCTTTCCCTCCAGCTCAGCTGACAAACCAAGGTCATGCACAGTTCCCTCCAATCAAGGAAAACAGTAACCACAGCAAGGATGATGAACCCTCGGATTAAAAAGAATAATCCTACTCTGGGATTAAAAAATAGAATGTAGAGTTAGTAAATAAGACAGTTGAAAAAAAGACCAACACAAAAGCCACTACACTCCAGAAGATTCATTTATGTTTTATCACTGTAATAAAACTAATTAGATAGCTAATTAACATAGGTAAAAAAAAGAAACCCAAAATTTTCGCTGTGCTGGTTAACTAGTAAGAAAAACATATACAAACCTAGTCCTCTGGAGGCAACATCAGTAGCAACCAGAATAGGAGCATTACCTTTCCTGAACTCTGAAATTTAAAAGACAAAGAAGTCAAACTCTAGAAGGTTCATTTTATTTGTAAATACACTAATTAGGCTAGCACAACTTGTTATCTAGTCCTGAGAGGGCTGTTAAACCCTATCCCAAACATTTCTAAACATTCCTTTCCATTTTAAGTTCCATGACAGGTTTATGTAATAAATTATGTGGATACTTTTAACTCTTAATGCATTTATCCTGGCTCTTTAATTCAAAAATAAAATTTTGTCCAGTCAACCTTTATGCCTAGCAGCCACAGGACAAATTACAGTTCCACAACATGAAACAACAAGGAGTGTTGCTTCCCTCCTAAATGAAGGCACATTCATTACAGACTATCCCCAGCAATCCATCAAGTTTCCCTGAAAGTTTTCCAGTTCCTATTTACAATAGTGAATGGAGGAAGGCAATAGAAAAGTTTAGTGTCTCTCCCAGGGACACATCTCATTCACCTAATCAAGGCTTAAAGCCACACATACCATTTAATACCCAATCTCTTTCAGGCTGTGATTTGTCCCCATGAATGCACATTGCTGGCCATCTACATCAAGGGAAGTAAACAGATAATTGTAATTATTAAACAAATATAACCGGAAAGACTAAAACACAGCAGACTACACATTAGCAGAGAGCATCAGTAACGAGGAATTCAAAATGGTCAACATGAAAATTTCAGGAATGAAATTTTAATTCATCAGCTGCTCAATCCAACAGATAACACCTCCTTCCACATGTATTATGTAGAAAGCAACACATACCCATCTCTACGCATCCTTCTTGTTAGTTCATCTGCTCTTCTCTTTGTCTCAGTAAAAATGAGTGACTACAATAAACATACAAATTTAATAGAAATACAACAGAGGAAAATAGAACCCACAGATACATTCTTTCACCTTTACGAATCTATATATAAACGACAAGAATACCTTGTTTTCAGACTCTCCCATTATCTCTTCCAAAAGCTTGATCAACCTTGTAAAAATAATAAAAATTGTGTTACTGAGTCGTTATAGTTGAGCTATTATGGTTCAACTATTACTCTTGATTTTATACCATTGGAAACATAGGGGGCAAAGATGACTTAAAGCCTGTTCTCTAAGTTCTACACACAGATAAAAAGCAATAAAATCAATATTTGCAAAAAAAAAATTTCAAAGTTTGTGTGCAAGACGGAAAAAACTTTGTTTGTTTGTCTCATGATGTAGTCACTTTTGATGTAGATCACTAAAGTGACTCTATTGTGAGACAAATGAACAAACTTCATCTCCAGAAAAAACTTTTATCTGCAGGTAATTAGAACTTCCTATGCAAAGACAAACTTTCAACTTACTTGTAGTCTTTTTCAGTTTCATCACAAACATCCACAATCTGTAAGATTTTGTGGTTAGCAGTGAGCCCCACTGAGCCAACTGTGATGTTAACACAGTCCCGCAAGAAATCAGCTGCCAGTCCTTGCACTTCCTTGGGCCATGTAGCACTCCACATGAGTGTCTGTCTGTCTGGTCTTGTTTGTTCAACAATTGTCCTGATCTGTGGTTCAAAGCCCATGTCAAGCATCCTGTCTGCTTCATCAAGTACCAAAAATGTGCAGCGTCGCAAGTTTGTTTTGCCAGCTTCCAACATATCAATCAATCTTCCTGGTGTGGCAATACATATCTCCACCCCTGAAACCAGGAATAGTAGAGGTAACATAAATCAAAGACTCCCATCCCTGTCTCCAGTAAACAGAAAAAATTCTCATAGAAGATGAGGACACATCATTACCAGGAACTAAGTTGCTAACCCTAAACCCAGGTACAAGAATTGATGATAGCACACAAGGTTCATAGCAGAAAAAGAATGAAAACCCACTAACTGGGACTCTACAAACACTTACACCTTTTAACTATTCACTAAGTTGGTACATTTAAAAAAGATATTTAGGAAATTCAGTTTATCCAGGCATCCTGAATGGAAAGTTTTATTCTGGACAAACTTTCCAGCAAGTAAGTCCTACATTCAGAAGTTCAATTTTAAGTCTAAATTAAATTAACTTTGATTGACACTTCTGTAGTTTAATACTTCTCAGAACACAGCTACTGAAAAATAAAATTTGAATTAACACCAGAATCTTTTGAGTAGTGCATATGTTGTTATGGCTACCTCACCTTTTTCAAGCTCACGAATTTGGGGTCCCTTGGGTGCCCCTCCATAGATGCACACACTTTTGACATTGGTATTGCGACCATACTGGAAGGCCACAGTTTGCACCTGCTGTGCCAATTCTCTTGTAGGACAAAGGACAAGAGCCTAATAGGAAAATAACAGTGCCATTTCCATTTGACCGAGCAATGTGTATTAGCAAAGATAAACCACTGCTAACCAAGAATACTCAAAAAAGGAAACTGGAATGTCAAGTTTTGTTCTTTCAAAATGCCCTGTTATAGGCATATGGCTAGTACTCTAATTAGCATATCTTTTGACAGAATATATTCTTTAATCAGTTGTATTCACTGACTTTGCAATTTCCTTTCTATAGTAAGTCTCCAAAACTAAAATGGCTTCAAAAATGAAAGTTAAAAAAAAAACTCTTTAGATCACACTCATCAGTTTTAATTCTACTTCAACAGTTCTAAAAAAAAGTTCCTGGTCATGGTTTATCTCAACTTCCAACAAAGAGCTTCCAAATCATTAACGAAATAATCTTACCACTGGACCTTCTCCACGCTGGACAAGAGGTTGGTGCTTGATATGAACTATTGCTGGTAAAATGAACTGAGGAAGGCAAACAATAGAGTATTGCAGTTAACCAATGCAATTCAATAACAAGTAAAAAACAATGATCACAATTATTTAGCATTTCTTACACTGCAAAGAATCAGTACAACTTACAGAGATAGTTTTTCCTGATCCAGTTTGTGCAATTCCAACAAGGTCCCTTCCACTTAGTGCAACTGGCCAACCCTAAAAGAAAGCAAACAAGACAAATAACTAGGTAATATTTGTGGACCTGGATGGTATCTAAGACTTTGGGCACAGTTTTCCCAGTAGAGAACTCCCAACTGATGAATAAATACAGAAGTAATCTTGTACAATGCAGCATTAGATGATGTGCATGTAATCTCCATGTAGTGCAAGGTTGAAACAAGCATACTGCATGTCACAACAAGCACCTGCATGTATGTAATTAAGAATGCAACAGGATTTTACCATTTTTCAAAGTAAATTAATTAAATAAATTGTGAAATACAGGCTCCCACAAATAGAAATACAGGGCATGAAATTGCACCTAATACAGGCCCCAATGCAACTAAATTTTTCACTTTGGCAACCATATCCTAAAAATTAGATGCCAAATTGGCGACTAGAATGCTTCATCGTAACTTTACTTAGAGATATAGAGAATTAAAAAGATTAGCAAAGATAAATCTGTGGCAAACTTCCTCGTTAAGTTTGTTTCCAAAATGCAGCACATGTATCTTGATAGATAACTAGATGCCATCTTGGGTTTAGTTGAGCTTGAACGTTGTACATCATCCATCCTAGTGTCCACTTTGTAGCACATTGAAGATCCTTTTCCTAACTTAATTTTGAAAGGTCTATCTAGAACAGTGACAGTGTAAAAAAAGGTCTTGTTTGTCTTTAAAAATGGGGACCAACTTTTTTGAATTGGCTACCACTTTGAAAAATTTAGGAGCCAAGTGGCTATCAGAAAAAAAAATTAATTTCACGCCCTGCAGATACAGATTCCCACAGCAATTACTTCCATGGGAAAGAGCACATGCATATGGATGTACTGAATGCCAAAAAAGGACTTAAGATTGCATTTGAGTGTGGACATTGCATATGTATAATTTCTACTGCATGTGGGTAACCACACACACAAGAAATATGCATAAAAATTCCCCAAATTACAGGGAATGAGTGTTCATCTAGGTGCTAGAATACACGCAGGCAGTACTGCATATATATGTTTATGATCCATTAAATATTTTTGTTTGTGCATGATTGGTTTAAGTGCATTACATGACCAAATAGTTCCCCACTAAAACTGGAGGATAACTGAGGATATCACCCGAGTGATATTCCCTGACTTTCAAACCTTATGTCCACTATGATAATTCTTTGTTTGAAATATAATTCAAGATGAGAGAGCATTTTATGGTTGTTACAGAAGGGAGGAATATTTGTTTGTTCATTAAGTTGTACTGGAAAAAAAAATCAAAAGAAAACTTTCCATGTAACAAAAAGTAAGCTGTTCATAAACATTTTTTATCTATTGTAAAATACTTGGAAAAACACAAAAGCCTCTATCTTGTGCAAAACTATGCTTGTATATTTGCCCTTCCTCCAAGCTCCCACTTTTCCTCTGGCTTCATTCTCAATAAACTGTTCACATCTTGGAACAGATAATGTCCATGGACAAACATCTGTGCATACTTTTGTGCCAAATAGAGGTTATTGTTTATATATCTAAGAATACCTGGGCTTGAATTACTGTTGGTTCTTGGAATCCTTCACTTCTTATTGTATCCATGATATTATCTGAAGAGAGCAGGTTGTTAATTTTAGTGTTAGAAAGCAATTAACACTAAATACCAACTACAGCCAAATCCTCTTCCATTCAAAGGTCTAGGGTTTGATTCCTTGCTGAGGACTCAAATTTGTTCTTTAGCACATGTTTGAGACAAAATGAACAACATATTTCAATATGTTGCAGTCATGCTTAAAGTAAAAACTGTCCAGAAAAGTCTAAAGCACACTTAACTGATGGAAGAAAAGTTTTTTTTAAAAATAAATTTCAAAAACTTAAAGTACTAACATTGAGGGAGAAAATAATTTGTCAGAATAAAATGATGCCAACCCTTGAACTACTACTTCTGCCCTCAAAGTTAAGCTGTTATGAGGATATCTTTTAATGATTTTCCTTTGGGATGCGATAATAAGGATTAGTTTTAAAGTGCCATTTCCCCCTTTGTACGTTCTAGAGGTTTAACAAAGTTGGATGAAATTTTATTACAAAAGGCAATATAAATTTTCTCCTATGTGCATCTGTTGTTTTTTCTCTCCTGCAGAAAATGACTTTGGAGATATGTTTCTTACAACCTTGATAAAAGTATCCTCTATTCTTTAAGAATATTAAGAAACTCTGCACGTTTTTAAACGTAGAGCATGACGAATTTGCTCTTAGCAGGTGAAGGGCTTCTTTGACAAATCCCATATTTACGCCAGGTGGATGACACAAAAAAAGTTCTTGTATTCAAAGGTGTCTGTAATGTGTTTAATAAATAACTCATGTCTAAGAATGTATTTTCTGAATTTAATGTTATTCACACAGCCATTGGCTGTGAATGTAACTGCTACCATTTGTGTAGTTTCTTAGGCAAGACTACAGTTGCGATTCTTTCTGAATCTTGTCAGTCGCCTCCTAAGAGTCAAATTCCTCATGGAGGAATAACAGGAATTGCACAGGCCTGTAAACACTGTTTAACCTTTCAAGGAATGGCTACAGACAGTGAATCCTCATTACATTCCACTCATATTCACGCTACCATGCTGCCACCCAAAGGTGTTCACTCAACCAGGTCAGGATGCAAATAACTCACTTTTTGTATTACAACCATGACGCAACACAATCAGAGTGTGCACACTGCCTGCCCTAAAAGTTACTATTTATTTTAACCAATCAAGAACACTTACTTGGATAACTAGCTTCTTCAAATGTTACTACTGGCTTAGGGACATTCCTCCCTTGAACAGTAAGCTGAGAACGTCTCCTGTATTCCTCAACTTCTTGCTAAAATTACAAAATCAAGAGGTGTTTTAACTCTGCTCTATTGAAAATGTTTAACAAAGGATATACAATATTAATGATCAAGTTCAACAAACCTTTACTACCATTAACAATGAAGGGAGGCTTGTATTTGTCTGGAGGTCTGCTGTGTAACTGACTATTGCACACTTCATGAACTTTCACAGATTCTTGAAAATTAAGTCACTAACACACTGAATCAAAGTAAATCAGAGAAAATTTTGGAATCATTCTTACCATGGATCTGTTTTGCACATTTGGATGTTCTCGATAGAAATCCTTCTTAAATTTGGGCAGGGCATCTAGATCCCACTTTGGTTTCCTAAGATGCTGTCCTGGGCTGTTGTTTAACTTGTCTTTTTTGCCACCAAATCCTCCACCACCCCCCCCTCTGAATGATCCTCCACCAAAACCACCTCGGCCACTTCCTCTACTACCACCCCCACCACCTCCAAAGCTACAAGGATACAAGAATAACTTCGTTCATCTTCAACACAAAACAATATTAGAAAACAAAACCATACGAACTAATCATGAAACTTTTGAATACTATATACATTACACTTCAGGTTTAGAGACAACAAACTGTTTAACCGTCGCTTGACATACTATAACAATTTTATTTAAGTGTCGATGTCTTGAGCTTAAACAGCTAAAAAAGATTATGGAAGCTGAAAAATGATTATTAAAAGATCTCTCTCTCCTAGTCCATTATCCTTTCAAACACCGCTACACTTTCTTGAACGTTTACATAATTAAACTTGACGGTAGACTTTTCAAGTGCTGCAACTATCTCCATCAATTGCAACTTGCATATCAAGCCCGGCCAAAATCACCCTAACCTACGATATCCCGACAAAAGGACGACTACTCACTCGTCGAAAACAAAATTCCTGTTGCATTGTGAGAAAAAATCGCATGTGGCATTCGTGAAAGGCGAATTTCATGTTACACAAATTCGCCTTGAAGCACTACAAAATGACCTGTGCAAAGGTTAATAAACCATTATGAAAAAAATACCTTAGGATCTAAGACACAGAAATGATCTCTCAAGAGTCAGCGAAGACAACAGTGAATTAGAAACGACAATGCAAAGGAGGGAATGGCGCACAAGGATCTGGGTCAGTTTGCCTTACCTTTTACGCTCTGAACGGCTCCCTGGATCAAAGGAGCGACCTCTATCAAAACGAGACATGATTTGTTAATATGTATGGGTTCGCAAGGCCTTCCAAGTCGAAGATAAGATCAAACGAGAAACAGTAAGGTTCGAGATCGAAAATTTCAAGGGTCGCCGGCAAAAAGATATCCGAACAGCAAATTTTAGTGACGTACACCCATGTGGCTTGTTAACGAAATGTCCCTGATTGGTCAATATGTTATTACGTAGTCGTTCTTCTGCGAATTGGCACGACGTAGGGGAGAGGTAGGACAGGATTAGGGTTCACGGTATAACTTAACGTAAACTGTAGGATACTTTTGATGATTTCAAAATCGCGCCGCCGTCCAATATATTGCTGATGGCAACCAGGTTTCAAATAGAACAGAATGGAATCATTAGCTGAAAGGGTTTTTTAACAACGAAAATGGTTCCAAGAATCAAGCAAGGCAGCAGCTAATAACTATAAAACTGTACTATGTTCATTTTGAACTCTCTTTCACTGGAAACATTTAAATTACAGCTTTACCTTGACAAAGGGTAGAATCTGCCAATCATGAAATTTGATGCCAGTAACTGGCTGGTAAAATTGATAGTTTCACTAACATAAGATATTACAGCATTATCACCAAGTGATGGTGACTGAGATTATACACCGCAGATTTACACACAATAAGGCCTTAGGGTTAAGAGTTGTACGAGATTACCCTATATCATCTTTTCTTCTAAAATAATTAACCAATGGCATTTATTTTTGTTTGCTCATTAATAGCTGCACATGGTAAGGGAAGAGAGTTTTACATTTACTGGTTGCTTTGTAAAAAACTGGAACCATTTCAGTCCCCATTCTTCCCATTTAAACATCTGAATTTAGCAGGAGGGTACTAAACCAAATATAAGACTTAAAAACGTAATATTTGTTCTTAATTGGGGAAAGTTTTAGTAATTAAAACCACAAAAAGGAAAACAATTGCATCTTGGCTGTCTAAAAGTTTGTATTATACTAGAAAGAAAAAAGACAACTAATCTTCCCAATTACTTTCTTGTGGAAAGTCGTTCAAAAAGATCCTTCTAGTTCAAAGATACTCACAAAATTTCCTCAAATTATTTCAAAACCAAGTTAAGGAGATGGAAAGAATATTCTTACCCTTTTCAATCAAAAAACAAAAAGTATATTTCCAGCACGTGTAATTTGGAATTGGTTTGTTCTTGATCTCAGAATGGGAGAGTTAGAATTCTAGTTTAAGATTATTAGTGTGTGCACTTGCTTTAAGACAATCTATGTAGTCATTCACGTCTTTACATGTTGACATCAAGTGAATAGTAGGGATCAAGCTCAGTGGAATTCATCAAAGGGAAATTATACCGAACACAGAATTTAAAGAATCATTGAAAATTGGTGTCAATGGCTTGAGAACATTTGGGAAATATTAGTATCAAAGTGTAAGAAGAAACAAGATCAAGAATCTTTTGTTCAGTATTTTCAATTTCAAAAAAACCCTAACTATTCAAAACATCAACCAAAATGTACAGTGCCAATCCAATTTTGAGAAATCAGAGGGTTTAAGAAGAGAGAATCCACCAACAAAGACCTCTCTCTTTTCCCACTGCTTTGAGCTTTTTCACCTCATTCAACGAATGTGTCAGTAAAGCCTGCGATAGTACATATCATTTTTTTGTTAGCCTCCACAAACTGGCTTTGATCAATGTTTTTAATGGATAGACACGAGAATCTGAAATTTGGCAGACTGGATTATCTTGACAGATTTATCCAAAATGCACCTTTCTCTTACAATAAGTCATTTTCACGTTCCCAGTCAATATATGTTATATACCACGGTTCTTAATAAAAAAAAAAAAAAAGAATTACAAGGAAGTACTTCTTAAAATCCTTCACATAATAACTGAGCCAAATAATGCTATTTTTACTCTGTCCAGTTTACAACAGAGAATAAGAGAAAAAAAAAAACTAACAAACAAACAAAAAACAGTCTCCCTTCACTATAGACTTGACTGTTCCAGTTCTTGCAATATGGGTGTTATCCAACTTTGGGTGTCAAAACTACCATCTGTTCCATTTCCTTTCACAAAATTATGCTCCTGGTCAAGGTAAAATAGAAAAGGAATTATGACTACAAACAAATTACAATTATATTATCTGTCTATTATCTGAATACATTCTAAATAATTTAGTCTTTTTCTGAGATAACTAGAAGGTAGCAACAAATTTAAATATCAATGTTGCAAAAAAAACAACTATAAGAAAAAACCTTGTTAATGACTTTTCCACAGCATGTGATATCTTTCATACTTATGGTTTTTTGTTTAACAAAGTTATCAAAATGATGAAAAAACCATTACCTCAAAAGGTTTATAAAATGTGTATTCCTTGATCACTAAAAAGTCAAGTATGTAGCATGCAAAGTGAATAAAATTTTAAGAATATATGGCTGTCTTAACAATTTTTGACGTTAAGATATATCTACTTACCATGAGCGAGACATAGTTAGGCCTTTTACTGTAGTCTTTCTGTAAGCTGCAGATTCAAATTAAAGGTAAAACAACATTAACCCTGAAGTTTCTCCTGTTAGCTAAATGATCATTTTGATTAACCTGAATACCATACAGCCAACCATTGCCGATGGTTTTAGGAGATGAGAACAAAGACCTCAAATAATATCAAATAGTTGATATTAACTGATTTCATAACTAATTCTCACAAATAATATTAAAGTTATTTATGAATAACAGTAAGGAGAATCAAACTATGATTAAGATCCCAGTGTGAAAGGGTAAATTAAAAAGTGTTATATGGCTTGCCAAAAATTGAAAATTACCATTGAACAACAAAATCTCTTAGTTCATCTGAGTATGGTTCCCCATCAGGAAGAGTTGGTGAAGGCTCATGAACAACTTGTTTCAGCTGCTCAAATGGTGTCTTCCACTGAGTGTATGGAAATTTACCAGTTGCCAGTTCTATCTGTAAAAGACAGGACCACTATTTACAACCTTGGAGTCATAGTTAGAATCCTTGAATCAATCCCTCTCATTTGTTGCTCATAAGTAGCTATTGGGTACTTAAAATTAGTTTGTTTCTATCCTAGAGAGAAATCTGATCCCAAGTTTAAAAGAACAGGATAGAGCCTCTACAATCACTTTCTGGGTGGTATAGGTTCATATCCTGACAAAATCTTCAGGCTTTTTTTCTTCAATTGTTTTACCTGCTAGTAAAACTATACGTTGGGTTCTGTGGTGTTTCAGGGAAGAGCAAGTATCCTTATGTATTGGGTACCACATTGATTTGGGGGAAGCACAAGACTTAGTATGTATAAGTTACCATAGTGATTCCTAGGCTCCAAATGTCAGAGCGAATATCATATCCTTCCATGTTTTTGGCTGGGTTGATTCTCTCAGGCTAAAAAAAGAAATTTGAAAAATGTCATAATCCATAATATTTATTATATTTAGCCCTTGAACAACTCATCTACGCACATTTTATTTTCTTGAGTGACTTGTGATTTTAAAAATACTTACTGCCATGTAAGGTTTGCATCCTGCATCAACAGTTTTTGCCAGTGAGTCTACCAGCTGACCACTTATTCCAAAATCACACAGTTTAAAATTTCCTTTTTCATCCACTAAAATGTTAGAAGGCTTCACATCTATAAAGAAAGCAATTAAAATAATCTGTGGTGGTTTCAGTTTTTGTTTAACTCTTTGGACCACAAGAGCATACAATCTTTGATGATTGTAATTTGGCACCCTATTAAAATTGTGGTGTAGTTGTTGTTGCTCACCTTATGATCTACATCAGGTGGGAAGCACAATGGAATATAATGGTTAGTGTCCTTGACTTGGGATCACATTGAACCCCTTGTCAAATACTCACTGTCCTGAATTCTTAAGCAAGTTACTTTTACTGTAACCATTAATCTCTCTCACTAAGACTATTTTATACACCCATTATAAGCAATGCTGGTCAGTCAATCAGAAAAATAAGACAAAATGCTGAAGGTTTACTTTTGCCACAAAATCAAGGACCATAGGCTCAAGAGAAAACTTTAACTGATCTCCTACAAAAATTATTGTAAATCATTCATTATTGTTACAAAAACTTAACCCAAAATCAAAGTAACATATTCTAAAGAAAAGCTGTTGATCACTTTCTTCATGATTTACAAACTTTTCTCATTACAAGTTCTTTTAACTTTCTGAAGGGGCTATCATAGAAGGAAAACACGGGAGAGCATTTTGGTGTTTTAATCAAAATAAAAAAATATGGTAAAAAATATTAAGGAAAACTAATGATAAATTAAGTGCTTACCTCTGTGGATTACATGCAGTTTACTGTGAAGATAATTTAATGCATGGACCATCTGTGTGTCAGTAAATAAAACATAATTATTTCAAATATGAATTTTTTTGTACTTGTAAGAGGCAGGTGGGGGTGGTGTCAAATTTAGCGCCATCATTTATTATAAGCTCCTAACTCAATCAAAATAATTATCAACAAGAATACCATATCTGTTACAGACAGCACATTGACTGTTGCAGCAGCAATTTATCATCTGAAAGAAAATTCTGATATCTCCAGTTACAATTACAACACAGCCTTCACAATAACCATGTTGTGCATAGCTTAGGAGAGAGTAAATCTGTCAAAACTTACAGCAATGGCTATTTCCCGTAGGACTTCTTCAAGCACCCTTCGGCCAGGAGTGGCATAAACTTTTTTGTAAAGTTTGTCTAGTGATGCTTTCATGAGCTCCATACAAATCCAGACATCTCCCTGGTGAATAAATAGGTCCTCTCATTTAATTGAACAACATCTGGCATAATGAATTGTCCACTATTTATCAAAATGAATCAAATTGGACAGTTCTAATAGAACAAAGACAAACTCAAGAGTAGCAGGAATTGTTAAGGTCAAGTGTAAGTATTACCCTTTGAGTCATACCTCTCTAAACAGTGCTCCATAAAAATGTACAGTGTAAGGGCAGTCAGTTACTCTCATTGACACGTCCAAATCCATCAAAAGCCTTTTCTGCTCTGTTGAATTTACATTGGCACGTATTCTCTGATGATAATAAAATAAATTAAATTACAAAAAAATTCATATTACTAGTAAAGAGGGTCCCAGTAGGTTTTTCAAAATCTGAGATATTGTCTTTTAAGATTGTACATAATATTAGTTGCCCTGATCAACTGGCAGATTATCTTATATGTAGATCTCGTATTCATGAAAGAAATTTACGCAAGACTTTATTGCATCTTCCCAAGGTCAAAACAAATACTGGCCAAACCATTTTTCAGTATTCTGCTGCAGAAGATAGTTTTACCAAGTACATTAGAGATATAAACTTTTTGAAGAGGTTAAAGACTGAGTTATATGGTTATTTTAGAGATTTAGATATTAAATTTCATTGTAGCTTGCTAATTTAGGTTTAATTTTTAGTTGATTTTTTTCTAGTTGTTGATATTTTAAATTTTAATATTTATATTTAAAATAATATAAATATATTATTTAAATATAAATGTATTTAAATATATTTTAGGTTTATATTTTGAGGTATTATAATAATTTTTTTAAGAATTATTTATTGAGATAGAAGTTAAAGGGTTTTTTTTTTTTTTTTATAGCTACATATGGGTTGATACCAGCTTTTATTATGGTACTAGCTGATCAATTTTGTAGGGTAAATAAAATTATTAGAATTATTATTAAAGTTGAATTAGAGGAACTTGTTACCATGACTAGCCAATGTTATTTGTGCAAAAATTTGAAAACTTCTAAAACGAGCAAAATTTTTGGTCAAAAGAGATAAACTTTTGCCTTACCGTGACTAGAGACTTCAATGAATCAATGCTGGTAAAGAATATCAAGAGCTAATAAAAAGGCCCTTTTGAGTTTAGGTAATGGACTAAAACAAGAATTTTTCGTCAGAATTGGGATTGGTCAGTATTATCAGCCAGGATTGCGATGGAAAATTTAGTTGAGATTGCGGGATTGAAGAACACTACTGAGGACCCTCAGTAAAATTATACTAAAACTGGAAAAAATATTTTACACTTACTTTGACAGCCATTATAAACCCTGTTGGTTGATGTTGCATTTTGTAAACAAAACCATATGCTCCGTGTCCTAGCTCCTTTATTTCTTTTAAATCATCTGCATTACATTCAAAGTCCTGTAATAAGCATAAAAAGAACAAGAGATATTGTGTACCTCTGATGTACCATAAAATGGTCAGAAAAACTACCTCTGTTTTGTTAATATCTTGGGGTATTTTACTGAGTAATTGCTTGTGTAGTGTCCATTATGGTGCAATTTCAGATTTTCCTGCCAAGAGAATATTCATAATAACTTACAGAAAGAGAGAAAGAGAACAAGAAAACTTCTAGACTGTTGATCAATTAGTGACAAAGTACCAACCTTGCCATTAACCGTAAGTGTAGCTTTATCACTCAAATTCCTGGGTGGAGTGGTGCTGAAAATTAGGTAGGATGAACCAAGTACTCAGTTATTCAAAGTAAATAGCTGACTTTTGAGGTGATCTTCTATAATCTAACAATAAATATCTACCAACAAATATATTTTGATCAATATTGTTTAAGTTAATCCAAAAATAAATAAAACATGCCGAAGTTGGTTCAACCCTTTAACTCCCATGAGTGACCAAGAGAGAATTTCTCCTTACAATATTAATACACTATCAACCACATAAGTAATGAGAATAAAGAAAAATATCAATTTGGGGATCATTAGTTGATCCAATACTTAATTCTCTGAACTAACATTATAAGAATTATGTTGACAGTGAGGAGAAAAAATTTGATCTAAGAGTTAAAGGGTTAAAACTTCTAACCCTAACCTAGGCAAAGATGATCATTCAATCTGTTATCTAAAATAACAAGGGCTAGCCTTTAAGGGTCTGCTGACTAATCATTAATTAGTGAACTCTAATGAATTATTATTTGCTACATCTGATTCAGGCTTTGCTAGCAACAACTTGGACATGCTGTGTCACAAGAATGCAAAATAAACCTTAAATAGCACTTACGATGGGGATGTGGTAGGTGATGGATGACTTTTTGTAAAATCAAATTTACTAGGCTTTTGTTTTTTCCCTTTCTTTCCTGTAATTAACAAAGTGAGACTTCAGATTCACTACACAGGTAACAATTTTCAGAATGACTTTGTATGTAATGCACTTTCCAGCCTACACTTCCAAACTAATGAAACACAAGGTCATAAATGATATGTTTGCTACCTGAATACCAGTTTAAACAGAACATAGAAAACCCACAGCTGTGACTGCATTAGAGAACACTTCAGAGCACAAATAATTTTTAAAAAGTAATGGTAATTATTGAAGGTATCAAATGTAAGTGATTAGGCCATAAATATCAAATTTCAACAACCATTGAGCACTTTACTAAAGTGCATGTTTAGCTATTCCATTATTTTGTACCTTGCATGTTGCACTAAATCTTGCATATCATCTCAGACATGAGGCCAAAAGATAAGATAATTGAGAGGAGAAAGTGAAAATTAAGAAACTCAAATTTTACTACCTGTCGAGATAATCATAGCTTCACTAAAAGTAGAGCTTCTTTAGTGTAAATCAAAGTGGAATAAATCTCTCATTTTCTGAAGCAACCATTTAGCTGAAATCAATTATGCGTCTGGATTAATTCCTTTGTAAAATAATTATGAACAACACATTATGTTTGAAGCAGGCTGCATATATTTGTTTATTTATTAGAGCATTAATGCACAGGGCAAGCTATAACTCGCGTGATGGATAAAAAGAACTCTGTCTTTAAGAGTTGTTTGATTTCCTAACCTCCTTTGGGTGAACTGGACATGACTCTCGTCGGATCTTTGGATGAAGTAATATAAAACATTCCATGTGAGAAATTTAACTCTGACACTGACCCACAAATATGGTAAATAAAAGAGCATATCTTATCTTACCTTCAATATTTGCCTGCAGCTCGTTTTCTATAAATCTCTTAACCGGAACAACTGACGGAGGGATTCCCCCCTCAGCTCGGCGTAAGGTAACGTGATTAGAAATTCTGTCTCATCGTCGTAATAGCAATATTTAGCACAAGGACTAATCCATTCAACGCGGAAAAAAAACTAGGCGGAGTGTGCACGAGTGGTCCCGAGCGGTTAGGAGCCAGCGGCTAAACATCTGACCTTAGAATATGTGGTGTAAAATGTTGTGTAACGACGACACACAGAACCTCTCTTTAAACTGAGGCCCAGGCCTCACGAACCTACTACCCACGACGAGAAACAATTAGATGACATTCCTAACAAATCAGGACCATGGATGTCGCGGGAAGACTTGTGGACTGGGATGTTTCGTCTCATTTTTCGCCCTTGTCACACAGTGTCCGCGTTCTGGAAACAATGAACAAACACAGGAAAGATTGCCTTAAGCTGTGTGATGTCGTTCTTAAAATTGGAGACGAACATATTCCAACTCACAGGGCGGTATTGGCAGCCTGCAGTTCGTACTTCTACGCCATGTTTACGAGCGATCTGGTTGAGAGCCGACAAAAAGTTATTACCATGAAAGACATAGACGCCTCTGTGATCCAAATGTTAGTGGATTTTGCTTACACGGGAAAACTTGATGTCAATGTTGAAAATGTACAAACCATATTGTCAACGGCATCGTTGGTGCAATTTCACGAAGTGCGAGATTTATGCTGTCAATTTTTGGAAACACAGTTGGATCCTTCGAACTGCTTGGGAATCAGGAAATTTACGGAAACTCATGGCTGTACTAATTTCCTGGAAGTTGTGGACAATTTTGTGTTGGAAAACTTTCGGGATGTTATGAAATCAGAGGAATATGCTTTGCTACCGAGTGAGTTATTGGTGAAAGTGGTCTCAAGCGATGACTTGAACATAATTGCTGAAGAGGAAGTGTATGAAGCTGTTATGTCTTGGGTAAAGCATGACCTAAACAATCGCGTGAAACAACTCCCTCATTTGATAGAGTTCGTTCGAATGCCTTTGATTTCAAAACATTACCTCCTGGACCGAATTGATGCAGACAACTTGATACGCTCCAATTTGAAATGTAGAGATTTATTGGATGAAGCGAAGAAGTATCATCTGATACCTGAGCAGCGAGGACTGTTTCGCACAGATCGTATGAAACCCAGAAAATCTATGATGGGAACATTATATGCGGTTGGAGGAAAAGAAGCCGGGGAAACTATTTCAAATACAGTGGAGTGCTACAGGTAGGTTACCGACTTCCTTTTAGTCATTGATTGATGGCACTCATCTGAAGTTAAAGTTTAACTCAAGTTCAACAGCGTCTGTATATACAGCCGCTGTATATTTTAGTTTTTCTTTTTTCTTTTTTTGTTTTTTATTGTAAAAATATTAACTTCCAACTCGAGCAAAGCCGAATATCTGAAACATTTATTTATCAAAACAGGCTGGAACAGTCAGGATTAAAGGTTCTTTCTCTTTTAAAACCAGATCTTTATTGTTTGGAACAATGTCTTTGTTAGGATAAAATTTTGGCATTCTTCAAGAGGAGATAATTTTCTAGCCAAGTAAAATTTACACCTTGAGAGAGGTGTGATCAAAATCACCCTGGCATGTCTGAAGGATGTAAATGAAAAAAAAATTTTTCCCTCTTCTTTTTATTGGCCAACAGGTTCATATACTGGTTCTCTTCTTAAGATCGTTAAATTGTAAATAGTTCTCTTACTGCAATGTGCAGATAAATTAAAGCTTCTACTCAAATATGGGAAGTGCATTGTTAAAGCTGTATGCATGCATGGTTGATTAGCGGACAATATTTGTGTCATTTCTTTCCCTTATTACCAGTTTACAAACAAACATTTGGCAGCAAGCCCCACCACTTAATGTCCCAAGGCAACAACTTGGTACTGGAAGTTTAGGAGGCTTCCTGTATGCTGTTGGTGGTTCAGATGGGTATTCGCGTTTGAGCACAGTGGAACGCTTTTCATTAGAGACAAACCAGTGGATGTATGTCAAGGCACTTAATACTAGTCGCTCTGGTGTTGGAGTTGGTGTTCTTGGTGAAGCAATGTATGCAATGGGTGGTTATGATGGGCGATCATGTTTAAAAACAGTTGAAAGATATGACCCACTGGTTGATATCTGGAGTTTTGTTGCACCTACAAATATTACCCGCAGCTTCCCTGGTATGTAACAGATTCCTTCACAGTTCCTTTTATTGCAATGGTTGTTTGTGATCATCCAGAAAGGGTGAAAATTTCATATTAATTATCCATTCAAGTGTAATTTAATGACTATTTGGCTGATTTAGTGTCAAGATGCAAAATATTGAACTTTTTGATATAGTATCGAGATTGTCAAGTGTATACAAGATAGACCATTGTTGCTATGGATAATAAGAGTTCTTGTTCAAACAGGAGTGGCACAGCTTGGAGACCGCATCTTTGTGATTGGTGGTAACGATGGAGTCTCATTCCTCAACTCAATTGAATGCTATGATCCTCATACAAACAGATGGACTCTTCTACCCCCCATGAGTCGGCCCAGGGCTGGGATTGGAGCTGCAGCTTTAGATGGTTACATCTATGCTATTGGTGGTTTTGATGGTGCATCAAGGCTTGATATAGTTGAGATGTTTGAACCCCGTAAGAATGCATGGATAGAAGTTGCTCCTCTCAATTCATGTCGTGATGGTGTTTGTGTAATGACCTATGGTTGCTGGGTTTATGCCGTTGGAGGTATTGATGGTCCATCATATCTTAACACAGTGGAGGCCTATGATCCAAGAAATGACCAATGGGAAGATGTAGTTCCTATGACAAGATGTCGGGCTGCAGCAGGGGTTGCAGTTTTACACAGCCCTGTTTAATATATAAGTGATGGAATATAATCTTTGTGGAATGGTTTGGGTTTAGGGGAATTTTAGGTAGTTATGTCGAATGTTGACACACAGAAGAATTCTTTCAACCTCAAGTGTTTGGATGAGACCATTAAAACACAGGAAAAGTCCCCTGTTGCTTTTAGCAAATATTTCTCAGAATGAAGTCAAAACTAAAACTTCACAAACATGCTTACTGACTTATATCTGAACACATCAATTAACAAAAAGAGAGAATGGGGTATCTGTCATTTTGTAAAATTTCATCTTTGTTAAATATGAACCCTTAGTAAAAGATATTTGCTTTAATAATATATTAAATAGGAAAATTCTTTCATCACGTATGTCTATTTGTAAAAGTTTAATATGTTGTTTCTTTCTTTTGGTAGTCAGTTAAATTGTATTTCTTGAGTAAAATCCAAGCTTAATCCTTTGTAATGTGGTGTCATTACTTAGTTGTAGACATAAGCTTTTCCTGCTAAGACACGCTCAGTTGCTGCACCACCATGTTGCATCTTTTTGATAACCAATGTCACCTAACTAACAGAAGCAAATAGCACTGCCTTTCATTTTTAAGTTTGCATGGCAACAAAATTTGTCGTACAAAATGATTGTAGTTGGTTGTTTTTGCTAGTAAGAATTCAAGGGTTGGGTTCATCATCCCTGTTTATTGCAGTTCCTTGAAATACTCGAGTCTGATTGTCACAAAAATTTTAATCATTTTTATGTTTGATATATTTTTGCAGATCAATTCCAATCTGGCATACAATGTAGTATGTTTGTATTTGCACTTAATGAAATTTTTCTGACCCTAATTCCAGTTTGGACACCAGTGTCCACCTTTTAAAAATTGTTTATCTAGAACCTGTAATAATAATAATAATAATAATAATAATAACAACAACAACAAAACAATCAGCTTTATCCACTGCCTACAATTTAATTGCTGTATGACATTGTGGACCTTTAAGCAACTACAGCCCAAGTTTGAGTAATTCTCATCACTCTCATCTCATGTTTCTCTTTTTGTGTCTAAAGGTCTCTAAATTGATGTTGTTTTATTCTTTACTTTCTAAGAAGACTTACATTAATTTTCTTTTTTTCCCTGATGCATTGTTCAATTTATTAGAACCACTCCATGGATTGATTGCTAGTCAAAAATTGCACAGTTTAGTCTAAGTTACTATTATTCTATTTGAATATTCTTTCATTGAGAGTACTGTGTCCATACATATTGCAAAGTAAAGACTTTACAAGAGATTATTAGGTGTTTAATGTATTAGAATTAGCATCATGCAATGAAGCATTCCCCTTAAGTTAGTGCCTCTCACTTCATGCAAAAATGTGAGAGACATAGTTGAATTTGCTCATTACTAATTGGGAAGTCTTATACTAGTAGTTAAGGTGTATTAAGTCTCTAGATTATTATGATGAAAGTTATATTTTACATTAATGTTAAAATTTGTTGAAGATAGTTAGAATAATTGAGATCTGATTAATGACCTCAGTTACAAAGATTCTAATTTTTGGAAATAATTTACATTAGAGACATATTTACTTAATGCAAATGTAAGATGGCTGTACACTAAAGTTATTCTGTGTTACTGTCAGAGAAATGTTTAATATGTGCTCTATTGGAGTACTTTTTGTGTTAGGATTAAAATAGAAGCTGCTTTGAACTAAATTCTAGTAAATTTGGGAATTAAATTGAATAAAATTTGAAATCTTTTTCTCTGTCAAGGTTGCTTTGTACAACTGTCTCATCCACTTTATATCTATCTTTATATCAGTGTATCTTGATTCACCAAACTCACTGAACTGATTTGAATGGATTTTCTTGCCCTATTTTCCCCTTCATTTTTCCACATCACACAATCCATTCATACACTTTTTTGTGTGGGACTATGTCCTTTGCTCTAGAACCTTAAATGTTGCATTAATCACTAAACCTAATTAACTCTTTTCCTTCAGATGAGGGTAATGCTGAAAGAGGCTATGGTCCCCTCTTTAACTGAGCAAAATTGAACTTCAGAAGCAAGGAACATTGTCTTATACATTAAGGCAAAAGTCTGTTCATTTATTACAGTATGCTGCCTGCAGAAGTTGTGGAATCTAAGGTTCACAATGGATGCCTTTAAATCCACTTATAGATCACAAACCTGACAATGAAATGCTTGATACACCAATGTACACTAAAGGGTGAGGAAAATTCTATTGTATGCACAAGGTATATGGATATGGGAACTGAAGCAAACCTTGACTTAATTTCTGCAAATTGAATTAGTTTATTTTTTGGTCTGTAATGAGGAAACACAGCACAAACTTAATTTTGTACAAAGTAGGTACTATCCCATGACTTGATTGTTCTTTTTCTAAACAGTGGTGACAACACAATGTCTAAATGCTAGAATCACTTTTGGTTACAGTTAAATTTCCATCTGTGCTTTAATTGATGCCTTAACATTTAGTGTTGATGGAAGAGCAGAAAAGCTCATTGGGTGGCAGGTTAGTGTTCTTAAATTAAGCATCACACATGTCTTTGTACTGGAGAAGGCAGGAACTGTCACCAACAACACTTTCTGACCATTTTCACCTAAAGAGAGACGGTAACTATAAATTAAAATCAATGCTGAATAAAGAAATTATTCTCTTTGATCAATTCATTGTAACTTGCATGCTTACCATGGATAAATTTGCTTGCATACTTGTGTTGATTGCCAACAAAGTACAAATGTGGACATTTCTCCAAAATAAAAGGATCCTTCTCATAGTACGGGTAACACCCTGAAAAAAGAAGTGTGAAAATGGCAAATGGCCACAGAAAAGCTAATCACCATTGCTGAGAATACCTATGATGAGCACTTGCTGGTAAGTCCAGAAACAGAAGGAAAAGACTCAGTGCTTGAACATGTATATTTCTAATCAAGAATCCTGTGCACCAAGCACTAAGTTATTGATTCTCCATCATGGTGACAGCAGATCAATAGCAGTATCTGGGCAACTGCCCATCTACCCTCCCCTAACTCAACACCAGTCAATTGATAACAAGTTAGGGTTAATGTTGAGTTAGGGGAGGGGTAGGTGGGCAGTTTCCCAGATAGTGATATTGATCTGTGACAGCCCCTGTTAAACACAGCTCTACAACACAATGTGTGCTGTTTCTTATCTTCAACCCACTTTGTTTGTTTTGTTCATTTAGGAGGTCACCACCCTACCAGCCTTGGTCCAACTTTATTTTTTTGTCCTGTATCCTTGAGCATCAAGAGGGCCAAAAGCTTACAGCAGAAGGACATTTATTTCATCAAAACAACCCTCTTATAGAGAAAGCCCAAGGCCCACTGATTGCATAAACCCATGATTGAGGTTTGACCTTGTGTAAATACCCAGTGCAAAAAAACTGTTTGAACCAACACTCCCCCTGTTCTCCCCAAGCCTCCGATTTTGCTTTAGCATAAAAAGGAAGTGAATTCCTCAGACAACTACCTAAGGTGTCTGGAGCTGTGGGTGCAATGTGACCCCAATTCATGCTGTGTTCTAGAATGTCCAAACCATCTTCAAATGTTGAAACCCTGTGAATGTCTTGAACATTTTGTCCTGAGGTTCCAAGGATTCTGCAAATATAGTTTTAAAATGAAAATAATTCAAGCAAACTGCCACAAAAATTAAGTTCATAAGGAGTTTCTTTCATGATCATAAATGATTTAAATCACAAAAACCTCTATCAATAGGTCCTGGTCAACTTTCTAATCTTTATATAGGGTTATACATACATATAAATTTCCCTACTTTACCCAACCATGCAGTTACAGGACAGACTGCAGGTTGTACTCTGTGGAAAACGTTACCTTAGTCCACCAATTACAGCTTCATATGGGTTGGTCACACTTTGAAATGTTGGATAAGCAGCTGCTTGGGGAAACATGCAGCGATGAAAAGGTTGCTGTGGCACTGTGTGATTAGCAGGATCAAACTCCCCAGGCATTATGTCTACTGGAACACATGACTAGTGATGGAAATGTCAATTAATTCACCATATTGTTCATTTGTGTTCAATATTATTCAGAAAACCACAATTCACATGGTAAGATTTCAAAATCTTAACTTCAGAAACATTCTGCATTACTTACAGCCAGTCGCATTACAAATTCATCCAACCTCTTCATAGCCTCCACACTACCAGCCTCAGTATTTCTAGTCAAATACTTTGCCTGTTGGGAACAATCATGTTTTAATGCACTGTTTGTCACAAGTGCAATAATCTAAATTATAAATATGCAAATCCCCATAACACTCTCTTCATTATAAAAAACTGTTAATCATAAGCTGATGGAAAATAATTCATACTACATCAAACACAGAGAAGACAAGAATGGAAAAAAGTTGTAAATAGCTTACCTTTGCTTCACTGTCTTTATTAAGTGTATAATGGCTCAAGGAATTTCCAGCAATGATAACTCGGCTTATCTTTGCACAAGATTCTTGATCCTAGTTATTCAATGGGTTACAAAGTAAAATTAATTTCCAGCAAGTGACCATCTTAAATTTCAAGCCTATGCAGTAAATTATAAGTGGAGGTCACTAAAATCTGGTATGACCATTAAGGTCTCAATTTTGGGTCATAACCTTAAGTAAGAGGGTCTCTATCAAGGCACAAATACATCCAAAAGGAAAATATTTTGAAAAAAGTGATACAAGTGATACAAACAAAGAAACTTTCTGGCAAAAATCATTATTTGAAGTACAGTCTGCTGGAGTGCATTTCTTATGAGTACCAAGTTAAGTTACTCTCTACAATGAAGCCTTGTGGGGTAAACTTTTCTTCAAAGGTTAACAATTCATTCCTTCCCAAGCCATAACCAATATGATTCAGCTGGCTGTATGCCATACCAAGGGAGTGGCCATGAGATCACTTCCAGAGGTCTTTCTTCATTTTGGTAAATAATCTTACTCTCAATATGAAACAAATCTCACCTGTACACAACCAAGCTCTCCAATCACCAAATCAGAAAAAAGCTGAAGGCTGAGTAAATCCTGACTTTTATCACCAAATCCAAGACCAGAGATAAAAGCAACATAACTTAAAATGAAAAAGAAATTAAGCTCTCAGATATACCTCTATATAGACTCATTAAAAAATCTACCATCAAGATAATTATAATCATTATAGTGACCAGCCTTACCACACAACTCACTCTAGGAAGCTATAAGGAAGTGAAAGAAAGTTTTAAGTTGGTCAGCATAACGATTACTTAAAGAGCTTAGGCTTTCTTAAAGTCATCCTTTGTTAATAAATATATATCTCATGAATGAGTATGACAAAAGCAAATAAGGCAAGAGAGAAAACTTCAAAGAAACTATCTCACCAATCTTCACCCTTGGACAAATGTTGATCAAGATTTGGTACAGTTTGGTAAGGAAGGCCACTGAAACAATAATCTTCAACAGCAAATTTACCACTGTCAATTGTACAACCACAGAGTGCTACTAAACTTCCTGAAATTAACAAATAACTATTAGTAAAAACTCAAAATAGTTAATGATTGGAGTCTAGAAGTACTGTTGGTCATGTGGTCAGATCAAAGCAACAACAGTAATCCTGTAAAGGGCTTTAATGTTGACAGTGACTGCTGCTTGGACAAACTGAGTGGAAGTCATCATCAGAGTCATGAGAAGTTCTTTGTCAGTTAGGTATGATCATCAAGGTAAGTTTTGCTGTGATGTTTATGGCTGACTCAAGTAGTGTGAGTCAATTGTGATCTAGGTGTTCTGATGCATTGGTATAATTAGTTCTCTGTTTTAGTTCATTCATTGTTTATTATTGTTGTCAATGATCTATGGTCTGTGACAATTCTGGAATGATAGATGAAGGAAATCTGTGTGAGTGTGTGATTGCCAAAATACCTGTTACACATGTTCCAACTTGTATGTTACCAGTAAGTGACACTCTCTCTGTTTCGTCCTCTATCACAAGTTCATCACTATCTTCGGTAAATCTATCTCTAGAGGGCTGTGGCATCAAATTATGCTGCCAACAAAATGAACAAGGTAAACCTTTCAATAGATGGACTTGACAGTTGGTTCAGGAAAAAAGACTCATTCTGCTGGTGGTATTTATTTTATTGCACAAGTTTCATCTGTAATCATACAGTTATTTCTAGTATTTATGAATCTAATAGCTTGTACTGTATGCATAAAACTTAGACAAGAATTTTGCAGAAATTGAATGGTATAATCATAAATGGCAGTTTAATTATTTTCAGTCTCACATCAATCATACCTCTTCACTTATCTCCTTTAAAATACTAGGTTTCATTTCCATTTTCTTGAATAGAGTTCCAATCACAAAACATTTTTCATCCGTTTTCACTTCAGACAGTTTCTGTATTTTAAATGCGCTCTCCGTCCCACCTGAAAGGCACAATTTCACATATTTAAAAATCTGTTTCAAAAGTTGGACAAAATCCCTCAACGCTACTCCCGCTGACATAAACAGCACCAACCATATTTTTTTTGATTTGCAACAATTCTCACAAACCGTAACTACGAGGCTAAATTTTTGTGAAGTAAATCGATTACAAACCCCATTTCCTTCTTGCTGCTGTAGCTAACTTCTTCCTCATTGCCATGATACGGACTGAGTAGATCTGGGCATACTGCCTTGAAAAGCTTCTGTCTTTTAACAAAAAGCGCTCCGATTCATTTGAGTAGGAAGAAGTTGTTCTTTCGATCCTGTCTTCCTCTTTAGGTCCCTCGTCATGTAAAGGCTCAGAAAGCAAAAACTCAGCCTTAAGCTCTGTAGCTTTAATATCCAATTGCTGTGCAGTGAACATTTCAATTTTATCTCTTTTAGCAGTGAAAAAGTAGGGAATTGTAATCCTAAAGGGTCGCCATGTTCCATTATTCCCGGGTAACTCTTCGCGCCATAAATTTTAAAGTAACACCGCTGTGTTATAAATACCACGGGCTTGTCTCTAACGTTCTATTAAACTATTATCAACAAAATTGTCAAAATGAAAATAACTTGTATCTTTGAATAGTGATATTTCAAAAATTATCAAAAGGAAAATCCGATATAAACTCAAGGGTTGTAATTGTTATCATTTATGCCCTTTTTCCATCATTGTTTCAAACCCAGTCCCCCCAGTTAATTTACTCTTGAAGACTGGACACGAACAATCCAATTATGGGCAGAATGGCGGGGAAATGAAAGCCATAGGTTTGCATTTGCTTAAGATTTCAAAAATTTCTTGGAATCAATGACCTATCTAAGCCTTAATCTGGTACATATAACATCTCAAATCTTTCTTGAACAAGATGCCGACGGTTTTTCAGACAGATTCACCTCCATCAAGTCCAAGAAGCCCACCTCGCAAAAGAACCAAGTTTTCATTGAAGCTTAAGAACAAGAAGAAGTCGCAGAGCGAGATCGAAAACAGAGAGAAGTTATGCCCAATATTTAGCCCCTCGACTGCTCAGAATACAAATGATGATGACGTATTGGAACCTCTTATTCCTCCTCCTTTTGCTGGACTGAAGAATCTTGGAAATATTTGCTATGCAAACGCTGTACTGCAAGTGTTGCGGTTTTGTCCTGGCTTAATGCAATCTGTCATGGAAATCGACTCACTCGTTAGAAAGCTATATCCCTCAAAATCAGCTGACGATGAACAGGTAATCTGTTACTTCGTGTCAGAGTTAGGTGATAAGACTTGATTTCTAGTCAAGGCGGAGAGATAGACACTCAATTAGTTGAGTCACGATGTAAGGAACGAACTTCCATTGGGGTACTGAAAGGGTTAACGATTTTGTGTTTTGGTCAAATGAAATAATTTTGATGAATGTGTTCACTGTATTAGTAGCAACCATTCTCTTCCTTTTCATTATTTTTTTTATTATTATTACTATTATTACTATTATTATTATTATTATTATTATTATTATTATTATTATTTACCATATTACAAGCATTTCCTCTCTACAAGGCTTATATGCTCGGATTTGGTCAGGTTTGTAAAGGTTCTTCAAGGGTTAGGGTTACGTTCCCTACTCTTTGCAACAAGTGTGTGGGTTCTTTAACGTCCCCCTACTAACCAGTACTAAGGATCCAAGAAGATTAGAATGTCTAACCATTTGCAGATATCATAGCAAAGGCAGCACATTCTCCTTTTTTTAAGACTCTGAGTGTGGTTCCAGTCTGGGTCTTGAACCCTGACCTCCCTCACAGTAGTCAAGCGCTCATCCACATGAGCTAACCAGGCAGTGGTTATTGACATATTGCTATATTGAGGACATCTGTCTAGAAGCAAATGTAGGAATTTTCAGGAGAGAGAGGTTTTCTCAACTATCTAAAAGAAACAAAAAATTTACAGAGTGTACTAATTGTCCATAATAACTAACTCAATAAAATTCTGTTAGGGATAATTTAGGAAAATAGCAAAGAGCAGCTGAATCTTTTTGATTGTTATAAAATCAGTGACAGCAAGAATCCCTTTCAAAGACTGCAGAACTTGTTTGATGATGTAGTTGTTTTTACTGCAAACTGGGTATATAATGTTTCATTAACCCTCACATTTCATTACAAGGATTTCTTTTTTTTAATAGAAAAGAGCAGCTTAATCTGTCTAATTGTTGTAAATTTGATCCCATTCCAAATCTTCTCCCCAAAGATTGCAGAATTTGTTGCATGATAAAGTTGCTTCTACCACAAACTGGGTACATAATGTTTCATTAACCCTCACACTTCATCAAAAGGACTCCTTAGTTTAGCACCTGAAGAACATTGTAGAGATCTGTCCTAGTTACAATGTGAATTTCACACAATATGTTTGTTATTATAAGGGCCCAGATAAAGACATAGACCCTTGTGGCATTGCTGGTAATGATCACAGAGCAGTTGTTTGCAAACTAAAAGAGGTGAGATAATTAGAGATTCCTTTCATTTTCATTGTTATTTGTGCATTGAAAGTCTCTGCTTAGTGTTACTAAGCAGAGACTTTCAAATTCATATATATATATAAATTTGTTTAGACGTATATCACCATGACAAATTCATGTTGCGTTGTCTTACTTAGCTTTTCAGTGAGATGAATGAGCTGGAGCTGGATTATGGTGAGAACAAAGAGAATTGTGATCATCTTGTGCAAAGAAGAAATCATCTGATTCTTGCTGCAATACCTTATGGCTTCATGGAGATGTTTAGGTTTGTTGTAATTTTCCATGTTATGTCCTCCTGAGTGTGTGGTCAGGGTGTGCTCTAGATAATGATGATTATTACCCACACAAACTTCCCAGCCTATTTTCCTGAAAAGCACATCTTGGTGCTTACACAAACAAACACCTACAAATGGTTAATTTGACCTTTAACCACTCTTTTCAATCACATGTCAACATTTTTTAAATATCTTCTCTTTGAACAGGAAGCAAAATCCAATATTTGAGGACAAACAGCAGCACGATGCCCAAGAATTCTTGTGCAGCTTGCTTGTAAATCTTCAAGATACAGAGAATGATGTTAAAAAGAAAATTGAAGATGCAACAGTTGTAAGAGATTTAGATGCCCTATTTGTCAATTTAAAGAGTAACAACAAAGTGAGCAAACATATAAGTAAAGTGGAAGAATTGTTTCAGGGACAACTTCTGCATCAGACTAAATGCATGACATGTGAAGAGGCCAAGAAACGATTTGAAAGTTTCCAAGATATCAGTGTTCCAGTTCAACAGGAGCCAAGAGTGTATGATGCAAAAACTGCTAACACATTTTCACCAACACCAAAGAAAGGACAAGATGGCAAAAGCCTTCCTTGGGCCCTGTCTCAGTTTGCCAGGATAGAACATCTGACAGGAGAAAACAAATACTTTTGTGGGAATTGTCTCACCCATTCTGAAGCTGAGATATCCACATGTTTTGACAAACTGCCAAGCATACTTACAATCCACCTCAAGAGGTTTACTGCGAACACTTTATTGGGGTAAGCCATCAGCAAAAAATAATTTAATACTATCAACAGTGTAACATATTAAGCTTATATTTTGGCAAACAACATATGGAACTGTGAATATTGTAAGGGACCTTACCTAGGTTGGAAGGCAAAGTTAAGGAAAATTGTGATGAACAATGAATAAAATATCTTTTTCAAAAGAATTTGGCAAATGGCTGGATTGTTAACCTTCTTCAAAGGGTTAGAAAATGTATTGCTCTACTCACTAAAACTTTTTCAAACAACATTCCCCTTCCTGTTGTTGTTTTGGTCTGCTGTAGGTCCCTATTGTCAGAGTGCAACCACCTGATGTTGTTTTCTTTTCTTCAGCAGATTTTCATTAAACAGTGTTTCCAAGATAACTTCAAATCTTGAGACACCCATGGAGCTGTCTTTGAAAGAGTGGTGTTCAAAATCATGTCCTCTATCTAACCCTACCTACCATCTATTTGGCATTGTAATGCACAGTGGTATGACATCTTGCAGTGGACACTATCAGGCTTATGTTCAGGTGCCAAAACACTATCAGCATGGCAACACACAGGTATTGTCATCTCATAATGGAAAGAAGGTGGACAGTTATGAAGCATTAGCTGCAGAGTTCAATTCAGACTTTTTCTCAAGTGCTGACAAACCTGATAAAATTCAACCCTTGAGTTCAGAAAGCACTGCTGATAAAGTAAAGACAACATGTATTTCTGGAATAACAAAATTCTTTCACAAATCAAAGAGGCATTCCACAAATGAGACTAACCCAGATGAGAGAACTGATGAAGAAAGCAAACACCATGGTGAAAAACGAAGAAATTTTAGCACACCAACATACAACTGTGCAGGAACTGGAAAGTCAGTGAGTAAGATCCGCAGTTTTCAGTACCAAGATGGTGCAAAGTCTCACAGAAGTGCAATAGAGCAATTGAATTTCCAAGAAGAAAATGACAAACAACAGTATCAAGAAAAACAGATGCAGGGTGCTAGACAAATATCACATACTTGTACAAGTGTCACAGAAACTCAGGAATTACAATGGATTCATTTTGATGATGCTGAAGTTAGAACCATAGAGGAATCTGATGTAAAAACATTGCTGTCGTCATCTGAATCATCCTTTACCTCCCCTTACTTGCTGTTTTACAAGTTAGCTGAGCCATATATGATTTAATTTACTGCATAGAAGATGGATTGCTGGAGAAGATGCTCATTTTTGTGACTCGATTTAATCTTTATGTCTGTCATTGTCAAAAGGACAAGGCTTTGTATTCAATTCCACGACAGCATGATTCACCTTACCACAAATTTGTCTCTATGGGCTGGAACCTTTTGTGAAGAAGTTATTTTACACAAATATAATTTATCATCATAAGTTCTACTCAATTGTTAATGATATTTTTTTAACTGTAATACTTGCCTTGTATGAATTAGGCAGTAAGTCACAATTTTTCATTCAAATGTGGAAGAAACTGAAACAATAAAATTCAGGATAGAGTCATACTTTGACAGATATTTTTGTATTAAAAATTTTAATCATCTTTCAAATATTTTTCTTTTCCAACTTTTAGAAGTTTGTAAGGTATAATTATTGAGTAACCCTTTCAATAGAACTAGGAATGAAGTTAGTATTTTATCAAGTGTCCATTCAGATGAAGTAGATTACTTGTGATTTACGTCTACATATTGTCAAGCAAATTGTCTTGAAATCCAGTAACCATACAATGGTGTTAGATTTGAAAGCTCTGGCAACATGGCTTTCACTTTTATCTCTGTGAATCAGGCACCTTGGTGTCTCACTATTGGGACAAATACCTCCAGGAAGACGGCATTAAATTATATTGGTCCCACCAGCTTGGATCAACCTTCCGCTGAAAGGGTTCTGCCTAAAACTCACCTTTTAGAGTGAGCCATACCCACTAATTCACCATAGAAGACTGTAGTTTGAGATTCAGGATGCCCTAGTGCCAAATCTGGCTATATTTAGTTGACTGTGCAAAATTTCATACTGTGAGCTTAACATGATTTGTCACCTCTGCATTTTTCCTGTGGAATTAAAACCTATTAATGGTAAAAGGTATGGATCTGTAAGCTGAACACAGTTTCAGCATTCCAATGGAGAATTGTTTTAATGTCTGGACTTTGTTTATTGTCTTCTTAAGATGAGTTTACTTTATACAGGATTCACCATGGTTTAAGTTATGTTTCTCTTTGTTTAAGGATTATGGTAATGTATCTAAAACAAAGGAAAGTACAACTAAAACTTGTCTCAAATTATTTTGACCCTTTCCCTAAAACTAAAAACAAAGGCACAGATTATAACTCACACAAATAAAAAATGCTTAGATTTTATTATTTTTTTTACCCAACTTTATCATCATACATAAAATTATGAGAAAGTTAAGATGAAATAAGTGCAACACATTGATCCCTCCAAGTCAGGTTTTAGGTAAAGAATAATCTTCTCTTACACTTGTCTCTGTTAATTAAATGGTGTCTTCATGGAATTCCTTTAATTCTGAAACTGGTACAAACATTTATTTTGCTCCTTTTGTAGCTTGTAGCTTGGTGTTAAAAGAAAAACTTCTGAATAGTTACCAAGCAGTTTTTAAACTATTAATTTATTTTTTCACTTTGAAGGTATGGTAAACTAGTTTACAGATTTCAATCATTTGCCAAAACTGCTGGTGTCTGTACAAACCCTACAATCTTGATTGAAATAAAAGCAATTAATTTCTTCAGCACTGTGCATAAATAAATATTCCAAATCTAATCCCAGTCAGTGTTTAGGTTTGAACTTGTCCTTGTCTTGCCGGAGGGCTCCCATCACATCTATTGGGTCTGATTTTCCTGTATATTTCTTTACATTTTCCTCACTAAAACAAAAGAAGTTCACAAGTTCAAAATAGCAAAGGCTAGTTTGTATTTTGAATTTTTCTTTTGCTTCAATGTTTTTAAATCAATTAAATTTGTGTTTCCCTGTCTCTGCTGATATGTTACTATAATAGATCTGAGGGGAAAGAGAAACAAGTTTCAGAATTTTTAAACAGGGCAAAACTTTGAACCACGACAGCAGTAAACAACATTTCTAAATATCTTTGCTTAATATCTTACAATAATAAGAATAATGATGGTTATATGGACAAAGATGACAACAATGGTCTAAAGAAATTCTCAAACTTCTACCCTAAGTAAAAAGCACCCTCAATTTGATAGATAGACAAATTTCTTAAAGCTGTCTGCTTTTTGTAGATTCTTTTAATGAAGTTATGAAGTCATAGATGAGTTTACTGTGAACCCTCAACAGCAGCCCATGGTAGACTTTCATCTCAAGAAAAGACAATGGTCGAATAATTATATCTTCCACTTTTAATTAGCTCTTTGCCATTTAATAGCGAATTAAGCTTTAGAACTTGAGTTAATGTAGTAAACAGATTCTCTGGAGCATTTATTAAATGTACAAAATTTTAAAATGCAACTTACTGAACTCTCATAAATGGGTTAAATTTGAGCTCCTTGCCAATAGAGGATGGAACTGTTGGTTCATTTGCTTCTCTTTTGTTCTAAAATAAATTGATTATATTTAACTTTTAAAATGGATAACTAGAATGTGAATCCATGCTATCATTACCCGCTACACAAATACATTGAGAAAAAAAAATGTAATTTGTTGAGGATTTAAATGCACATTGTACCATTTTTAACAACTATCAATTACCTTAGACCACTCAATATGTCTGAGAATTTCTGGGTTTTCAGGTTCAACATGAACAGCATACTTCAGATTATTCACTGTGTACTCATGACCACAATAGACCAGCTGGAAAATAAAGTTGTTTACTAATAATAATTAAACATTTTCATTCTCAAGATCTCAAAACTGAATCTCCTTTCTGTCTGCCAAACATCTTTCATTCTTTTTGCCTGGAGAATTTGTGTTGAATTAAACAATATCAGCCACGCTTAATGTTTTTCTCTGTTCTCATCACCTTTCTGCCGTTAATACATTGATATAGAAGGGGTAAATTATTATATGGTTATTCTAAGGAAGGAAAGAGTTAACAAAACATTTTATTTTTGTATGCTCCATCAAGAATATCATTAGTCAAGAGTGTAGCCCACAGTACACACATCCTACCAGCCATGTTTGAATTGAAGTTAGAGTAGATGGTGGGGGTGAGGGGCAGGGGAAGGGGAAGGGCCTCCCCCTCCCCCACCTATCTCCTTATTTTTGACTATTGGCCATCATATCTTGGTACAAATTTCTTTCTCTCCCAAGCCATCTGCTGCCTTTAAAATCAAAGATAGTGGCCATAATTTTTGTTAAGAAAGTACTGAGCACTTGCTTGCCAAAATTATGCCTGCTCTGCAGGCTATCAGGAGTACAAAGAAATTAAATTCACAGCACATTTCAAATTAATGAATAATTAGTATTATAATTACAGTTATGAATTTCACTCGTCACCTTTTGTTTATATATACTCACAGTATCTGCGGGTAATTTTCCAAGTATCTCAATTAAGGCCCTATACATTTCTGAAGGATGCCCTTCAAAGAATTTTCCACAGCCTGCCACAAAGAGGGTGTCACCTCAAAAAAAAAACAAAGATACAAAATGGTTGACTGACAACAGCATAAGCCTGTATCAGTCAAATGGGGAATGTACAACACCCAATGCAGTCAGTGCAAAACACAGACTGCAGACTGAAGATGAAGGGCAGACTGAGGGTACAATGCAGACTGAAGACTATGGATCAATGCAGACTCAGTTCTAAAACAATCCGTTTCCCTGGAAATACTTCAAGAGTGAGCTGGGATTGAGGCCGCATAAGTTGTGAGAGGCTGTCAATAATGGTCATGACAATTGATGTTTCGCACTTCACTGGTTTTGGCGGTGATATATTGTTTTAAGGTAAGAATGATTAGAAATGCAAGTGTTTGAATATGCAGGTAATTTAGTGTTAACAACTGGGTTGAAAACGTAAATTAGCCACTGTAAAGGGTAAAAAAGCTGACGTTTCGAGCGTTAGCCCTTCGTCAGAGCGATCTGATGAAGGGCTAACGCTCCAAACGTCAGCTTTTTTACCCTTTATGGTGGCTAATTTACATTTTCAACCCAGTTGTTAACACTAAATTACCTGCTATACTCTCCCACCGACGCAGCACCACAGTTTCTTTAGAAACTTACCCCTTTATTATATGTTTGAATATGCAGTTCACAACCAGCTAAAAACATTTCCTTGTTAGGAAATAAACAGTTCTGTTGAGCAACATTAGGTAGCTTTAACATACATGTAGCTCATGTAAACTTAGTCTGACCTTGAAAGTAGTAGCGATAGACTTTCATCACACATCAGCAATTTTGATTACTTGGATGTAATAAAAACCTGTTTCTTGTACCTTAGTTTTGCGCTGCAGAGTTAGGCATGCAAATTCTTTAAATTTAGTGCAAATTTGTGGGTGCAAAATAAAAGTCTAATTAAAAACCTCCAAACAATATCCCCAGGTGTTTGCGTTTCTTATTCCACTTGATGTTTCACTTCAGTATTAATGCGAGGTAAATCTGTGGCTATCATGGTCAACTTAACCTGATGCTTGAGAAATTTAGTTTTGCTGTGACATATTTTTATTCACTGGAAAATTGGCACAGTCTTCCATAAATTGATTGAAACAAATTGAGAGCAATAAGAAGTCTCAAGTTCTTTTTAAGTTTAATCATTGAGAGAAACCAGAAATGTTCATAAATTTCACACATTTTTCATAACCCGTGATCTTCAGTCTTCAGTCTGCATTTCACCCCTGGTCTTCGGTCTTCAATCTGCATTTTACCCTCAGTCTGCATTTTACCCCTTGTTGCAGTCCGCAGTCTGCCATTTACACTGACTGACACCCAATGCAAGTAATACAATCACTGTTTTCTCAGTATTAAAAAATTAAAAGAAATATTCCAATCTTGAAGAAAAAAATTCACCTTATGGGCCACCTGATATGCCAACAAGGTAGTTATGAAGCAAAACAGGATGTTCCTTACCTGTGAACACGGCACTTGGTTGGCCAATAACAACATAGCAGATGTGCCCTCTTGTGTGACAAGGTGTAAAAAGACATTTGACATCAAGGCTTCCAATCTGAACAACACACAACAGTCATCAGCCAGCTGTCATTGGGCATTGCTCAGCCAGACATTTTCCTCAGTTACTATAATAAGCCTCAAGCAAGTCTATTTGATATTGGTATATAGGATGCAAATTTACTATATCATGATTTATCAAACCTTTAACTGATCACCGTGAATAACTTTCTTGTTCAATGCACCAATTCTGTCATCACCACCACAAACTGTCAGCCCCTTCACAAGTTCAGCTAACTCTGCATTTCCACCTGCATGATCCCTGACAGAATAGGGAAACTCATAAGTTAATGAGTAAAGCTATCTACACCATCAACAATAGAAACAGCCATCCACCCTGCCAAACATAGATACAGCTATCTACCTTATCATACATATATGCAGCCATTACACTGACAACAGTAGATAGAGCTACCTACCCTGCCAAACATAGATACAGCTATCTACAATGTCAAAAGTAGTCATACAGCTATCTACCTTGTCAACAGTAGATACAGCTATCTACCCTGTCAACAGTAGGTAAAGTGATCTACCCTGTCAACAAATAGATACAGCTATCTGCCGTATTTACCCGTGTATAATGCACACTTTTTTTTATAAAAATAACCATCAAAATTGTGGTGCATATCATACATGGATTCCATTGTTTGTCAAGCACATCCTAATTTGCAAACATTAAAAACACAACAAAAATAAAAGTGCGCGGATCGGTGGTCTGGAGAGGAGAAAAAGCTTGCTTGTTTACAACTGTTGAAGCTCACATGACAGATACTGTAAACGTGTCCTTCAAACTATATTTGAAAAAACCATTTAAAGGTGGAGTCTGGAAGCAGTGGATGACTGATGGTATTCATGAATTTACTGCCACTGGAAGACAAAAGAAGGCTTCTAAAGAACTGATCTGTTTGTGGATTTCGCAAGTGTGGAAAGCTATTCTGTAAGAAATGATTGCTGCCTCTTTCCTGAAGTGTGGGACCACAAACAATTGGGATGAATCACAAGATGAATTGGTTTACAATTCAACCGAGATCACTGATGAACTTGATGATTCAGTCATCAAAAACCTATTTTGAATCGGACTGCGAGTTGGAATTTGAAGGTTTCGTTGTTTAAAGACATTGAACATTTTATTTAAATCATACGCAATGCAGTGATGATATTCAAGCAACCAACAGTGCTTGAAATAGTACAGAATTAATGTTTATGAATTGTTGTTATGATAATAATTCAAGTTGTGAATTTAGGCATTTTAATAAGGACTTCAAGTTACAACATTTGTAAAATGTTTGACTGTAATTGAATAGAAAAGCTTGTAAATAGGTGCTCTGTGCATGCGATATTTGTAGTAGCAACTAGTTAGAAAATGTTGTAAACGTATTATTGATGAATTTCCAGCTCTTGTTAATTAAATGGAAAAACGGAAGTTTTAATTTTTGGTGTTTGTCTTGAAATTTTATTTTTAGACAAAAGAGGTAAAAAATAAGGGTGCATATTATACAAAGGCGTGCATTATACACAGGTAAATACGGTACCCTGTCAACAAAAGGTACAGCTATCTACCCTGTCAACAGTAGATACAGCTATCTACCCTGTCAACAATAGATACAGCTATCTACCCTGTCAACAATAGATACAGCTATCTACCCTGTCAACAATAGATACAGCTATCTACCCTGTCAACAATAGATACAGCTATCTACCCTGTCAAAAAAAGATACAGCAATCTAACCTGTCTAGAATAGATATAGGTATCTACCCTGTCAACAATAGATACAGCTATCTATTCCGTCAATGATAGATATAGCTATCTACCCTGTCAACAAAAGATACAGGTATCTACCTTGTCTAGAATAGATACAGCTATCTACCCTGTCTAGAATAGATACATGTGTCTACCCTGTCAACAGTAGATAGAGCTATCTGAACTGTCAATAATAGATACAGCTATCTACCCTGTCAAAAAGATACAGCAATCTTCCCTGTCTAGAATAGATAAAGGTATCTACCCTGTCAACAATAGATACAGCTATCTATCCCATCAATGATAGATACAGCTATCTACCCTGTCAACAAAAGATACAGGTATCTACCCTGTCAACAGTAGATAGAGCTATCTGAACTTTCAATAATACAGTTTATACTGTCCACAATAGATACAGCCATCTACCCTGTCAAGAGTAGATACAGCTATCTACCCAGTCAACAGTAGATACAGCTATCTACCCTATCAACAAAAGATACAGCTATCTACCCTGTCAACTAAGATACAGCCATCAACCCTGTCAACAAGAGATACAGCTATCTACCCTATCAACAAAAGATACAGCTATCAACCCTGTCAACTGAGATACAGCCATCAACCCTATCGACAAAAGATACAGCCATATCTACCCTCAGCTTCTAACCATAGATACAGGATGTGACTAGACTGCTGTACATTTTATAAACAGTCTGAGTGGGGAATAAATTAAGTATTCCAATGTGGTCATATAGAGCGTATAAAGCATAGTACAGAGTAAAAGATGTACATGACAAACTTACTATGAAATGTTCTATCATGAAGTATAAACCCCACATTTGATTAGTGATCACTTACCAATGATGATGAGTAGTTAACACAGTTGTTAGTTTTACTCCTTCTTTTTGGACAGCATTAACAACCTGTTACAAATTTATGAATGATTTGGTATTATAAACTGAGTTGATAACATAAATTGGCCACGGTAAGGAGTTTAAAAACTGACATTTCATGACAAAGGGTTGACGCTCAAAACATTAGCTTTGAATTTCTTTTCAGTGGCCAATTTACATTATTAACTTGGTTGATAATACTTCCCTGTTACCCTGTTATACTCTCTCACTGACACAGCACCACAGTTTCTTTACAAACTTACCCCTTTTATTTATTTGTTATAAATAAAAGCCTGTGATAATGTAATAACCATAGTGTAACATCAAATACACTTATCAGTGATTGTCTCATGACAATGCCTGCTAGTTTTCCTTAAGCAATGAGGTCAAAAAGTCCCCAGGGGACCACTGAGAGAATACATCTTAAAAATGCACCAATCACAGCTATTATACATCTACCAATGACAGCAGAGTATAAAGGAACTTCATAAGACAAAACAGTAGTGATAGCTAAGTTTCAGGTAGAATTCATTTCAAATTTAAGAAATAATAGTAAGTAAAACTAGTAAATACATAGAGATTAAATAAATACAAAACCTTTTTAGGTTCCACAGGATCTACTATGGCAGCTTCTTGTGTTTTCTCATCAACAACAAGGTACATGTAGTTATCAGAAAGAGCAGGAAGTATGTGAACTTTCATGTTTGTGTGAACAATGCTTACTGGATTTGAATGGCTCTCAGCTGGCAGGGTTTGCAAGAGACGATTGCCTATGTTTCTGTAACTTCCTGGGAAATTTAAGGAAAATCTCGAGTAATGAATAAATAACAAAATTATCAAAATCACTATTATTAATTAAATATCTCTGAAGGAATTTTCAGTGAGTATCATTTCAGTACATTTATTTTTACTGAGCAGCCTTCACACTCATTCAACAAAAGATGATTAATACTTTGTAGATAGGCAGACATTAATGATAACATATATTATTCAGATAATCTAGCCTGTTATTACCTGTTTAAATAACATGTTACCTTTATGGTCTTAAAACTACATACAGTCAGTTCTCTCAAGAATTAGAAAAAGGGCCTGTTAAGAGGACACCAAAGAAAAATAGGGGGTGTTAATTACATGCCAGATGAACTGACAGCTTGCTTTCCTGCAGGCAAATGAAGATTTCACAAAACCGATCCCAACTGTTCTGTTGCTCTGTCAAGGTTGTGTTTTTGTCGATTTGCAAATTAAAGACAAATTTTATTGCCAAGAGTCAAATGTCAAGCACAGGGTGTCCACCTATGAGAGTGCATAAACGAAAGAAAAATCTAATTTTCACTTTCAAAAAGTGTCCACGTCTGCATACAAGAGAGAGTCCACTTGAGGGAATGTGTAAATACAGAGGTAAAACGTGTCTAAGTAGAGCTGTCGGCTTACAAGAGTGTCCGTTAGTAGAGAGTGGACTGTAGCTGACTTTATAGTGGTAAATCAGTGAAACAATTTTTTTGTTTTTGTTTTGAAGGGTAAGGTGGGAGGGGAGGGTGGAGATTCAATTAGAGTTGTTAGCACCCAAGGTGGTATTCCTTAAATGAACATGAATAAATATCAACATTTAAAAAACAGTGAAAGAAATGTATCTCAACCACAATGCACAAACAAAGCGTCCAGGAACTTATAATGTAACGCAAGATATGAGTCGAGTGCGTGATGTCCCGACTGTATTCAGGAGGGGTGCAACTAAATATAGATAGTGTTTACGATACAAAGTTGTACAATGTAATCGGTGAAACATGCGGTTGTTTCATCACAATAAGCGACAAAAAAGCTAAACACGAAACTAAAATTGATTACAGAAGACTTACCAATCGATGTAATACGTTGAACACCTTTTAAGGCGAAGCCAGTAAGACGCATCACCTCTCGTAGCCGCCACATTGGTTTTACCTCATGTAAATTATATAAAATATCTCACTATCCTGGGAACTTAGCTCCAGGCCACCGTTTGGTGTGTTTCACGGCCTACTTTCCTCACCAAGTTTGAAATGAAAATGCTTGAAGACATGTCAGAGTTATGTTTGATAGTAAAGAAATATTTTTATAGGTCACCGGTGTCTGACTTCTGGCGATGTCTGTAGACAGAGACCCGAACGAAAATGATCGGGGTCCGAGCGGCGCTGAAGTCCTCGCGTCATTAATCACAGACGCTTTGGAGAAAGCTAAACTGGTGAGTTGGTCTCAATCATTCTTCATAAAACTTCCTATTATAGTGGAAAAAATACCAAGCGGTAAATTGTGGAAGGTTTCACAAATACTTATTATTTTCCCGGTATTTAGGCACTCCAGCCGGCAATATTCTTTTGTTTTAAATTCTCGTTTTTTACAAAAACTATAGGGGACTGGAACTGCCTTCCTCAGGCCATTGTTTCATCAACCTCCTCAGAAACTTTTAAATATAGGTTATCAGCTTTACTTAAATAATATTTGTATATATTTCATATAGTTTCCTTTGCTCAACTTTTATATCATTCATTTATATACTGATATATCTGTATTCTATTCATTTACTTATTTATTTATTTATTTATTTGTTTTTTATTTTTTTGGTTGGTGTGATATCTTAATTATTTTATCGACCCAATGCATGTAAATGTAAATGTTTACCCATGAGACAAATGCATTTAGTAAATGTTATGTTTTCCCAACAATCAAATACCACTATTTAACCTCATTAATTCAGCAACTTGGTATCTTGTTAACCTAGGGGAAAACTAAAGATTACGATCTGTTGGTTCAGAAACTTGCTGACCCTGGAATCAAGGTAACTTTGGTGAACAATATAATTACATGTTTTTCCCTTCAAATTCGACTCAACCAATCAGTTCCAGTTCACCCTTATTGTTGCATGCTCACCCTGCTCCTAAAAACAAAACATAACAACAAATTGGCTTTTCCTCAGAACTTCAGATCGCAATAAAGGGGGAAAAAGTTAGTGCTCAGTACCAGTACTTTGTTAGAGCCTGTGTTCACCACTAACTTCCAGTTAAATCAGTTTAATCTAGAAATACATGCCTTTTGCTGATTTTTTTGTGTTTTCTCTGGCCGGGTTGTTATAAGCTGGCTTAAGATAACTCAAGGCTAGTGTGAAATCTTATTTCTAATCTGAAGGTCTTAAAAGAAAATTAAATACAATTGTATCAGTCTACAATTTGATCATTGGATGCCCTTAAAAGGATAGAGAAAATAATCCAAAAAATGCTTTTGAGCAGAGGAATAAAAAAACAGAAATTTAATTTGGGTTAGTGCTAATCAGCAATGAGGTCCTGGTATATATGATAGAATTTAAAAAATTGAATTTCCAGTGCCTGATCAAGCAGTATAGCAATGCATTGGATAAAGTATTGTATGTAGCACTGACTTGGACTTTTGGCTGATCAGAAGAAATCTTATTAAATCATGCTGGTGATTATATTGAAAGCAGCTTAATTAATGTGTTGGTACTGATTTCTACTAACCCTTGCATCATGTTAAGAATTCAGTTGTTTAGATAGCCAGATTGTAGATTGCTTTAAGTTAAAATAAATAAGTGATGAAGCTATTTTAATGTTCCAAATTGTGCAACAGTGAAAGAGATTTAGCTTATCTTAACACCATTAAAAACAAATCTGAATTTCTGGTAAGCCTATTTATTTTGTTGATCTTCTTTGTAGGAAGTCCACTTGCAGAGATATCTTATGGCATTAACAACTTGTGTTTCTCATCTCACAAAGCAGTATGATACACTAGTTGGTGCAGTTCTGGTAAGATTAAAAAAGAAAAATTGCACCCTTTTTTAATTTTCAGATATGCTTTTTTTCATCAATATTCTTTGAATATGTTATCACTGACTGTTATTTTGCACCTCCATCTAGACAGTGTATTATACTCAGTCCCAAATTTGAAAGTCTGTTTTGAGAAATAATAATTTCCACTCATTATTGTTTTATTGATTTTATGAACAGTATTCAATTGATAATAAAATTATCACTTATGTTGATATTATCATGGAATTATTACAATTTTAGAATACCAGATGGGCACTATGTGGTGAGAAAACAGTGGAAGAATTTATTGAATTCCTGACAAGCCTTGTGTCTGCCCAGACATATTACTTAAGAGCATGCCTTAATATGATTGTCAAGCTCTTTATTCCATGTAAGATTTCCTCAATAAAGAAATCTTCGTAGTTAGTTTATTAAATGTAATGAATATTAACTTGTTGAATTATATTATTGTTTATTGTCAGTATGATAAATTTTAAAATTATTTAATGTCAGTCTGAAGTATATCTTAAATGTATTTATTGGATAAGAAAATAAATAAAATATAAATAGTTGTGAATAAGAGAAATATATTTTAGGCAAGTTGACTATGAATTAAATTAAAAAAGAAAGCAAAATCCAAAGTATTGCAAGTAATTCCCATAGAGTATCGTCTAGTTTTTGGAAACATGTCTTGTCCTGGTTGCACGATTATAGCATCTCTGTTGATAACCTTAGAGAGGAAGATGTCATTTTTGGTAAGTTCGATATTGCAGAGGATTTTCTCCTGTTTAACCATATTTTGCTTCTGGGTAAGTTTTATATTTACTCTCGGAAATACCAGAATGGTATACCTTCTATCCAAGGTTTTATAGCCAGGACAAGTCGTGTTTACAATACTGAACTCCATATTGCTGGGAAAAGAGACAAATTAAACAATCATTTTAGAAAGTGGGAAAAGTTAATAAGCATTTTTATGAATAAGTGATGTCATGATTAATTTCTACCATTAGTTTTAAAGTGATGTCATTATAATTTACATACTAGGTAACTGTATTGCTGTAATAGCTTTGTGTGTGTTTAGCTTGGTATTCTATTCGTACCACATAAGTGTGTGTATGTGTGTGTGTCTTTTACTCTTCTTTTTTTCTTTCTTAATTTCCATTTTATATGTAAACGTAAGAAATGCTTAAAAAAAAAAAAAAAATTAATGTCTAGTGTGAATGAATGAATTTTTAAATATAGTACAATCTTAGAATGCAAAATTATTTTCATGGACAAAAGATGATGGTAAAAAGCAGTTGATCTTGACAAGGTCATGAAAATAAAATTGAATGATGTTATTTATCTTATCCACAGCCATTTTTCGAGATGTGCAAGTAGAAAAAGGTGATTCTGAAGGTATGCATGAGGATCCAAACTTACTGTACCAACTAAACTACTGCAACTTGAGAGGTGGCAATTTTGCACCCACTGAAAGTGAAACATCTAAAAACATCGTTTTTATTTTGTTCATGCTTAATACTGGTTTTTGCCCAACACTGATTATATATATCGTTTTCAGTAATTAATACATGTCAAAAAAAGAATGTTCACCAAAGGTGAACATTCTTTTTTTCACCAAGAATGTTCACCAAAGGTGAACATTCTTTTTTTCCATGGATTTTTAGTTATGAATTAATTGTTGATAAAACATTTCTTTCAGTTTCTGAGAAGATATTTTGTAATGCCCATGAAGCCCTTCATGCTATCCATCAAGTGGTTCCAGCGTAAGTTAAAGCTAATAAAATTTTTTAACTTTTCAGTTTGGTCTCAGACTATTCTTGTCACATTAGAACCCTTCAGTTTTGAAAGCCTATAGATTGATCAAACTGTAATTTTGGAAAAATGTTTGATAAAAATGTGACAAGGAATCAAGATAGGATAGTTCCTGCCGCCAGTTCCTATCAGCCTGGTCCATGTAATAAGATATAACTATGCTTACATGTTTGAAGCTGGAATATCTTAATAATTTTGTTTCAACAGAGTTCCACAGTTTTTGATATCTGTACTGTCAGAAAATTTTCCATTTGTGAGAAAACCTACGATATTTCAGGTAATTAATTTTGTGATTTAGGTCCTACTGCTAATTGCTTGTAGTTCAGCAGCCTTCACTTACACATTTTTCAGAATTTTAAATTTGTATCATATCTCTATATTATCAAACCATTTTAAATATTGATCAATTGAACTTTTTCTTATTATTTAGATCTGAAGGGCTTTTCACAGGAAAGGGAACTTCAGCTTTGTGTTTTATATAGTTTAAAAGGTGTTTGCAAAGTACAGTTACAATCATTATAGTATATACTTACTATTGGTGTTTGTCACGTCATCATTTACAGGAAAGTTATGTGAAGAACCTTCTTCAGGCTACAAAATACCTCCCTAGCCTCAGAGCAAACATTCTGGAACTGATCATTGACAATCTTACTAAGATTGATGTAAGTATAAGAATATCATATTGATATTCATAGCATAATTACAATTTTTATAGTTATCATATATATATATCTCTGAAAGTTGGACAAATCAATAAGACATAACTCTTCTGTGACTCTGAATTTCACGCTTACACGATCATCAGACAGATTTTAATGAAGAGTATACCTCACTTAGTTTAAATATATATACAGTAATTAGCTAATTAGTAAGTCTATTGTAATCTGGTGTTGATATTCACTAGGGAGTATTTGTTCTCGTGGCAGCATTTGGAAATTAATTCAGTTCTTTTGTTAAGGTTGCTTGCTTTGTCAGCTTTGATAATGTAGAGTTTTTCAGTTGGGCAGAGGTTACATCATTTGGAAATATTGTTGTAGGCGTTTGCTGAAGAGATGATAGACCAGCTTATTTTGTAGTTTTCATTGTTGTCCTTGAGTTTCCAGATGTGTTTTGCTAGTTCAGTGTGGTTGGCATATTTTTTGTGACAGAATGATAGTTTATGTTGCGTATATTGTTTTAATGTTCCTTCAGTTAGTCCGATGTAGTTCTTTCCTGTGTCATCTTTGTCTGTGGTCACCTTGGCTTTGTAGATTACACTGGTGGAGAGGCAGTTATTGTCTAGAGGGCATTGGTCTTTTTTTCTACAGTTGCATCTGTTTTGTGGTGTGGTGTTGTTGTTGGTAAGGATTTTCTTGTTGTGGTTGTTGATGATGCTGCCCATGTTCGGCATGCAGCTGTAGCAGACTTTCACATTGTTCTTGTTAAAGATGGGGTGATTTAAGGTTGAGGAAGGTTTTAGCTACGTTGGTTTGGACATTTTTGTTGTATGGGGGGGTTAAACCAGATGATGCTTTGTTTTCTATTTCTTTTCGTGGTTGTGGTTGTGTTTTTCTTGTAGTAGTGAAGGTTTATGCTGAATCCGCTTGATCTTAGGGCTTAGTCGTAGAGAGGCTTGGCTCTGTTGAATGTTTCTTTGTTAGAAGATAAGGCTGATTATCTGCGATTGATGGCTGCGGGTATTTGTTTGATGACAGTGGGTGGGTGGTTAGATTTTGCATTGATGTAGAGTGGCTCATTGTTTGGTTTTCTGTATGGTTGGAAGGGACCACTCCTATCTTGAAAAGTCAATACGCAGACTTTCTATACATATATATATATAGGAAGTCTGTGTATTGATTTTTCTATCGTACAGTGCTTGATATGTAGAAGTAAAGCACAATATATTATATCGAGATAGGGGAAAAAATAGAGACTATACTCCTATCCCTACAAGCCCGTTTGTGATTACTCTCTCATAGGGGGATAATAAAATCCCCTGATGAGTGAGACCTTGAAACAGGCTCATAGGGATGACGGTACAGTCTCTTTGTTTTTTTTTCCTATCTTGATATATATATATGTATGTATATGTATACAATTTTAGATATATATATATATATATATACATACTCACACACCAGTTTTCAATGTTGCAATTTGAAAATATGTACCATGAAATATATACATCTTTCTTTTTCCATTTAAAAAATGTTGATAGAATAAATTATATATAATAATAATAATATTTACATATATATACATATAATATTATATTATACATATAATATTTACATATATATGAATTATATATAATTATAATATTATACTGTATTATTACAATTCTTTTGAAAGGAAAGTGTAATTATCATAGCTGTTTTGTTTCACCTTTGTACATTAAAATAAAAGGCATTGTTCCTTCAATGTAAAATATACAATTGCCTTGTCCATCACCTTATTGATAAGAGAAGAAAAAGGTACATATATATTTCATTAATATTTTCAAACTGCATGAGAAAAGAGTGAAATAACCATCAAAATCATATAATGTACTACTAACATTACTTATTAGTAAAATACTTTCCCTCGTATTAGTTAGAACTTTGTGACTTTTTAACATCTCTTATCTCAAATTCTATGATCCTTTTGTTTTAAATTGCAGGTAGCAGTTCCTAAGCATGAACTTGAACATCATGAAACTACTCCTGAAGAAGAAGATCCTATGCAGTTTGAAGTGGAAATGGTAGTATTTGTATATATTTATACAGAAGGTTATCTCATGTTAACTTAAGACAGCAAACACAAACGGTTAAGAATATATGAAGGTCATATATTTGAACTGTGGATAAAGACGTGAATGAAAGTGATCCTCGCAGTAATGTGCACTACTTAGGCAGTAGTGAAAGTAAGGCCTGAAAAAAAAAAAAAAATTCAGGCCTGTATGGGATTTGAACCCATGACCTCTGTGATACCGGTGCAGAGGGCCCTGCACCGGTATCGCAGAGGTCATGGGTTCACAGAGGTCATGGGTTCAAATTCCGTACAGGCCTGAATTTTTTTCAGGCCTTACTTTCACTACTGCCTAAGTAGTGCACATTACTGCAAGGATCACTTTCATTCATGACTAAGATATGTGGTGCTGCAGTTTGCTACATGACAGATGGGCTTAGGCAGCCAAATTTGTGACTTTTAACTACTTGCCTTGTTGACCAAACAGTCACAGCATGGAGCACTTATTTAAACTTTTTTATCTAAATTCCATAGGCCAGTGTATCTAATTACTGAAAATTTACTGGACTTTATTATTGTTTAAAATGTCAGGATGCCACCAACATTGCAGTGGAAGATAGTGGTGAAGGACAAGAAGTAAACTGTATGGGAAATGAAATGGCAGACAGGCTAGACATTTTGATGGAAATCTTGTTCAAGTACATTCATGAAGTTACCCACATGGATGGTAACTTTAATTGATTATTAAGCTGCTGAAATATTAACATGGAAACTTGCCTGAGTCTGTTGTATATTTGATTTAAGAGATGTTTTCTTACCTCTGAATTTGAAGCCTTTTAAAATATCATAGTACAGTGTCTGAAAATAAATTTGGACTCATTTCTTGTTTAGCACTTAGAGGTGTGCAATAAGCACTAATATAAATCAGATAATTATATTATTATTAGACAAAAATAATGAGAAGTGTCAACATATCTCTGTATGAAGCAGTTTTGCCAACTTGTTGCTACTCCTGTTGATGTTTTTGATCAGTTGGCAGAGGCTGTTGGTGTTTTAATTGTCTTTTTTTTTCATATTATTAGGAGAGTATATAGTTGATGGTGGTATTGAATTGTTCAATGAGTTACTGGTGGTAAGTCATAACTTGTGTTATCAAGTTTTTTTTTTAAGCTTAATTATTTTACAGTCAGTAACCATATTTGAAAATTTTCTTTTCATCAACAGAAAGCACTTATGACACACCACCATACAGACTGTTAACTCAGTTCCACAAAGATCATAAATAAACAAGTTTATTTTGATTTGACAGATTTTTGACAAAGTCATCCTCCCTACACATGCATCATGCCATATTCAGTTCATAATGTTTCTACTCTGCAGCTTTGATCAGGTTGGTATGGTAAAACTTGACTGTATACTTAGTCAGAATGAAACAAAACCTTCAACACTTGGAATTTTTGTTATTTCACTCCCCTTCCATTTAGGACTCACTGATTAATACCAAATTAATTTTAATAGCAAGTACACATGTCATCAAGATGTTGTTAATCTTTAAGATGTGTGCAGTTTCCAGAAAATCAGTTTTCATTGAGGGAAGCAGTTCTATTGTGATTAAAACATTATAGACACATACAGTTATTGAGACAAATGGATATCTCTTCCTAGACACTTGATTGTAGACAAGTGATAAGATGCCTAATGTTTTCTGAAGAGGATACTCCCTCCTTACCAGGGAACTAGTCCTGTCAGTGCCCACCTTTGCTTCATCAAGAAGCACTGTATCATGTGCTTATTCTCTGAATGGCACAGTGCCAGATGGTAACATATTTGGCCCGTGGTTATAGACACACAAACCAAGTGCACCAAGGTTTATTAATGTCATGACTGATAGCTGACCCTAACTCAGTCAATATGATACATGTCAGTAAAACCATACATGAAAATTCATGCAGGTTGTGTGATACTTTTCCTTATCTGAATTTCATTCAAGATTTTCCTTTCTTTCTTTTCCTCTTTTGCAGTATTTTTCCAATTCCCTTCTTGATGTTTGCTGGAAGAAGGTAATATTTTCACTTCCAATGAGCCCTGTGTTGGTTACATTAGGAATTAATGCAAGGTTTTAAATTTAAGTTTGTAAATTTTAGTGGATGTTTTACAAAATCCTGACTAAATGGCTATGTGCAATATGGCTGCAATTGTTGTGCAATGGTTACATTTCTATTTCTTTTAATTTATTGGCAATTCTGTAGTAACTGAATTGCATGAAAACTGCTTAAAATAAAGACAAGCTAAGGAGGTCACAATGGCAACAAATTTCCATTTTTGAGGAGCTTTTCATTTCCATGTATGTTTCAAAGGGGTGTCTGAATTCTAGAATAGAGTCCAAATTTATAAACAAAAATTGACTGGGGGTTCCAAAGTGATGCCAAAGTGACAAATCTACTGTGACACTGGTTGGCATCACAAGAATCCACTGGTGGTAAGTTGATACAGAAATATACAGATGGTTATTTAAGTAATGCTTCATTCATCATCTGAGATCATGTTTCAAATTTTTTGTAATCAGTGAGTAGTTATTGGACATGTGTTCTGTTGTTGTTATCATCTTTGTAGTCATTCAAGTGTGTCTGTGTTCCAGATTGAGGAACCTAATACCCCAGCTATCATCAGACAGGCTAGTGCAGCTTACATTGCAAGTTTTACAGCCAGGGCTAAATACATTCCCATTAGGTAAGACTTGTAGTTGCCATGAAAGTGAAAAAAGTGGACTAGTTGATAGAGAAATTCACAGATAGCTCCTTGAGCTCAAGTGAGACATATCAACTGTATCCATTGGAAACTGAGTGGTTGATCATTGTATTGATGTAAAATGTCTATGCTATTTGCTTGAAGTAAGTGATAATGTATAGTTAGAAAGATCAATTTTCTTTAGTGCCAATGAAAAGAAAGAAAAAGAACGGTCATTTATTATATATACGAACAATAAGAATCTGGAACACACTGTCAGATGAGCTTAACCTAGGTATGAACAATGTAGATGACTTCAAACATGCTTTGATGTGTTATTATTCAACTGCACTCTAAGAGATCTATGACATTGACAATCCCAGGACTCATAAAACTATATCTGTACAAAATGTAATTCATGTCACAGCCTGAAAACAACACCAACTCCATGCTGTTCTTACTTATTAATTATTGATGTAATCATTTTACTATTTTAGTTTTACTATTTTAATACTCCTGAGACCACAGTAACTGGCTATTGCTGTTGTGGTTACAAGCCCATTATTAACCCATGTTCTATATTGTATGCATTGTTGGCAAAGCTAATAAATAAATAAATGAATAGACAAGCATTTTACAACTTACAATTTACTAACCTAAAGCAATTTCAAAATGTAATATTTAGGGAGATTCTGGCAATAATTCAATGGTATGTCACCTTTTAATTTTACAGTACAGTGCAAACTTGTCTGGACCTTATTGTGCACTGGATTCACTGGTAAGTGTATCTAAAACACATAGCATGTGTTTGATAGTAAGGGACATAATCAGTCTTGAGATATGCTTGATATCTTTACAGCTATATTGACACTCATGATGCAAGCTGTGTAACACCTGATGCTGGTAAATATGGCCCGTTTTACTCAGTTTGTCAGGTAAGCTGATGATTACTTGCAGTTTTCTTACTTTTGGTACTTTTTTTCTTTTACCTTTTTTACAAAAACATAAAGCAACATAGCTAATCAAGCGATGTCTGGTCAAGAGTTACTTGCACACAATTTAGCTTTGTACTATTGGAATTGTGCAAACAGGAGGGACGCAAAGGTAAAAAACATGAAGTGTGGAGAGGGAAGGAACCAAACTGAAAACAAGAGAGTTTTTCTGGCCTAACCTATCTTCCCTTTTTTGCCATTGTATTGACAGAAGAAATACTGATCTAAGTTGTATGAAAATTTTTTTTATGAATGGACTTTTAGTTGAAATCATAATTGCCATTAAATCATGGAACATTCATTTCCAGGCACTTTTCTACATGTTTGTATTTCGCCACAAACAGTTGCTTGAACTTGAAGGAGGTATGATAAAGGTTTACAAACAGATTTTAATGCCCCTTTGTTCATCTCTGTTTCAGTGTATTTCTTTTAAATAGTGTCAAACCAACTAGCTCTCTCTCAAATCATTTGAATGATTTTGATCAGCTTTTGGGTTGAAATTTTGTTAATTAACAACTTAAATGATTTTGGAACTGGTTTATTTTAGAACATTAAACAAAAGTTCTGTCTCCTCACAGGACTGAAGTACATAAGAAGACTTAACCTGGACAGAATTGTAACTTGCCGCATGAATCCACTCAGGGTTGGCATGCTTTTTTTTTTTTTTTACCTGTAATCCATGTTGCCTAACAGTGTGCAGGGTTGTAGGGCAGGGGTGGGCATTAACCCAGTCTCACTCCCAGATCTTACAATCAATTCTCCTTTCTGTCTGCCATGCAGTTCTCATGTTACTTCAGAGAATTTGATATTGGATCACAATTGCCAAATTGACATTTAATCTTGTCACTTGTATTCTTGACTACATATTGATATTGTAAGGAGCAATTCTGTTTTGGTCACTCCTTGGAGTTAAAGGGTTAAAACCACTTCTGTGTACAGCATACATGCAAATAACTTTAAGTTCAAAGTGATTGTCATAAGATTCAAAAAAGTACATCAACTAATCATTTTTGCTTTCTGCTCTGACCTTTATGCAGGTTTGCTTACCAAGCATTGTTAAATTGTTTGCATATATCACAAGGTAAAATTGTATTTATCACTATGTGCATTACCCTCTAGACCCTCAAATTGTTTCTATTGTACATATTGTCTTGCAGACCCTCAAATGGTTTCTATTGTAAGCAAGTAACAGAGTTTCTGGTTCATTCAAGCAATGTTTAGTTCACCTTTTATTCAAGGGTTACTAGCTTGTAAAATCAAATTGCCTTTTGTGGAACATACTAAATGGCTGGTTTAAATCAACAGACATTACGAGCTGGTTTTTTGCTATACAATTATTGAACAAAACAACAGAATGATGTTGCCAGTGGCAACAACAGCATCCAGCCATGCAGTGAGGAGTTTGTCTTTCCAGAACCAGTTAGATTCTTATTTTCCTTTTGATCCTTACCTTTTGAAAAGGTGAGTACAAAATCATGCTTTTTACTTGTGGCATAAAATTTTTTAATACACATACAAACATGGGTAAAAGTGAAAAGATAGCTCCCACACACAGAAGTTGGTAACCTGTTGGTAGACGTGATACCAATGCATTATAAACAGCCAGCCAGACAGTGTTAAGTAGACCAACATTGATCCAAACCCCTCATATTTGAAAACAGTAAATAGAAATACATCTGTGGAGTACACTGTGTGTACTTGCTTCCGTATCTTCCTCACATTTACCTAAAAATGCCCTCTTTCTCCCAACCTAACTCTTGTACAATATGTTGTAAGATCCTGGTGACCATTCATGGTTTCTTAATGAAAAGCTGAACAGTTCACAACAAAAGATATAGTAACAAAACTTAGTCTCATTAGTAACAATTAGTTATTGACCTAGTATTAACTTTGAGAGGTAATGTTACTGAAAACAGATCGTCAAAGTTTATCAAGCCACTCTATCATGAATGGAAGGAATTGGAACACGATGCAGATGATGACGATGATGATGAAGAAGAAGATGATCAAAGGAAACATTCAGAAACATATGTAAGATGTTGTCAGATCAGTTTTAACTAGAAAAGAATATCAATATTAGTTTTAATGGGTTTGTATTTCTGGAATTCTCATTGGTAAAACTGAGCAGGCCTCACACATGCTGAGTGTGGCAGATTTTGAATTAGATATTCTTAAAACTATCCATTGCAAAAGAAATGCAAACCCAAACCCTAACCCTTGTAAAAACCTTCATTGAAAACAACAAAAATATAAGGTGCAGAAAACAATTAAGGGTATGCACATTAAATTTTCATGGTATGGTTTATTTGTAACACTTTTTAAATGTTCCAGCATTATTTTTATTTTTCCAGGATGAAGGAGAAGATTACTTGGATAGCTGCAGCAGCCCAGATGGCATTGTACCAGGTTTTACACCTGACACGCACATGTGTGTGTCACCTGGGTTCACAGTTTCTCCCAGAAGATAGCAGTCACAGTATTGTAACAACATATGCTGCTATAAACCTTGTACTAGGTTTTACTCCTAACACACTCACGTCTGTCACCTGGGTTCTCAGCATCTTCCAGAAGATAGCACCTACAGCATTTCAACAACAAATGCTGCTTAAATCTCACCCTTGCAATCATGCGATGTTGCTGTCAAGTACTGGCAGGAGGGACCACCATGTAACACTTCAGTTTGTTGATACAAATGCATGAGGCAGAACTGCAAGTCTTATCTTCCAGTTACTAAACCCATGCTGAAACTAGTCAGGTTTCCTTACCATAATCTGAGTACTGCTCATAGTTGAGGACTATACACGACCCTTAGCCAACTGTTAAATATGTATGTCCAGTGTAAGATTTCAATTCTAATTAACTAATGAAATGTACTGATTTCCATAGAGAGGAAACTTTCCCACAGACTTTGCTCCACAGTTATTTGTAATCCTGGTTTAGAACCATGGAATCTAGAATTTTAGATGTTAATTTCTAATAAATAAATGCATCTACAAATTGGTTTTCTTGTCAGTATATTGTGTTTAATGCAATTTGAAATAGGCCAACCCTTACAACATATTTGATGATGAACCTAATTGTAAATCCACTCTCTGAAATCAATGTAGTTTATAAACGTTTAAGTAGCTCCTCAGCCTCCTCTTTTGCCTGTGAAAAAAAGAAAAAAATTTGTATTTGATGCCTTCAAACCTTGATATTGGCTTTCTGGAAATTTTCAAAACCAATGAGTTTAGCAATGTGGAGAAATAGCAGCTAAAATGAAGTTCAATTTTTTTAAGTCTACCTGGCATGGACGGTAAACAAAGGTAACACTCTAAGTACCTCACAATGAGAAAAGTCTGTGCTTTTTTTCACTTGAAATATCTGTTACTCATTATTATCAACAGCCAGGGTACATACTTTTTCATCGTCTTTTGTTTTAAGTGGATTCTCATTTACTGCTTTACTAAGCCACACTTTAGCCTCTTCCCTCTTCTTTTGCTTGAATAATGTTGTTCCAAGCATAAGATGGTTCTTGCTGAAGAAGTTTGGCTCTACTGAAATACAATTTTCCAAATTTAAAAACTGACTTTTGATATCGACAAGACAGTACAGTAACATACCACACCAAGAATACACTATGATGGTAAGATTAATGACAGTCAACATTATCTACACCCTGTGTGAAATTCATAAAAATAGTTAGGCTGAAAAAGATGCAAACTTAATTTAAAAAATTCAAAAGTTGTCATAATTTTTTTCTCCTCAAAATAAATCTTACACTTTTCAGCTTCTTGAAAGTGTGACAAAGCCTGTGATAGGAAGAAAATGTGTTACATGAGTAAGTAATTCAGTTTGTTCCATAGCTGTCTGGTAAAATGTACTACTTACAGTGACTGTAGTTTATGTAAACAAACCCTGAGCAGTAATTTCAATGTTGAATTATTATGACCAATTATTGCTAAGCTATACTTAAATTTAAAATTTGTTTATTCAATTTTAAATTGGGCAAAGAAATTTATTACAAGACCTGCCTAACCCAACAGGCACTGAGAGAGTCATTGTTAAGTTATAGTTGTAACTGAGTTGAACCCTTTAAACCCTACTGGTGACCAGAGTCTATTTCTTCTAACAGTATGTTAAGGTCACCATTTCATTTTCATCATCATTTATTTGCCTTTTCAACAATACAAATTTTTTTTGGTATAGCACTATAATTTACAGAAGGCAAGGATACCCAGGAAGCTGCTGGGCTCATAAGGTTATGAGAATCAAGGACATGTTCACCAACTTCAGAAGCTCTTAATTGTTAGATGCATTATCCTTACTGATACCAAAGGAAATGAACAGAAAAGAGTATGAAGAATATGGATACTGAGGGTTTAAAAGTTTGCATTATTTTATGTATCAGTCAGCATGAACATCTTACTCATTTACCTCCTCATATGAAGAAGATGGTGGTGTAGCAAAGAGAGCAGCAGCCACATTTTTGGTAAACCAATTCATGTCAGCAAATGTAAAACACCTGAAAAAGGATAAGAAGTTTAATATTATTGATTATTCACTACTACAATCAATTTAGAGACTGATTTTTGCAATAATTGAATTTACTTTAATAATAAAATAATCAGTTAGATGTGTATAGATACTTGCTCTGCAGGGTTAACTTACCAGAGGCCCAGTAAATATCTTGAAGTAGGATCAGTTGGGTTTAATTCAATCGCTCTCTGTATTAGAAAACAACAGCACACTGTCTGGTTATGTATTACTTATAATAAAATTCAAATCTACTGACTCTAAAATGCTGGTAATATTAAAGAGATGGTGAAATAAACTATACTGTTTGGAAGGATAGTCTGACTTAAAACTATTCTTTAAGTGTAAACACCTTGTAACTCATGCAACGTGATTCTTGTGTACAGGTTTCCCAATAGTGATCATGTGTCTTACCTCAAAATGATCCTTCATGATTTTAGAATTTTCTAGTTTAGCCTTATTTCCTTCATAGTCACCAACAATTGAAAGGCCGATGGCATACCACTGCAGGAAATTCAAGGAGAGCAATGTACTTAATTTATATCTCAAATGCATCCCCTGGCCCTCCCCCCCACCAACTCCCCCAACAAACAAAAACCATATATGAAAGTTGGCTGCAATCTTGGCTTTTGTAATTTTTTCAGAGCAACATCTTGATCTTGTACCATGTTTTTTAAATCAAAGTAGTATGACTGTGTGTTCAATATATCAGGATCCCCAAAATCTTTCTGACAATAATAACAGTTTTAATTTAACGAATGAAAATAAATTATCCACTAACTAAATCAGGAGTTAAAAACATATGATTTCACAACATCAAAGATGCCAAATAATACCCATAAAATTGTTTTAGATTTACCTCTGAGTCTGTGACTACATTTTAAAAAAAAGAGCTCCAAAACTCCCAAAATAGACATCAATTTATGGTTACTAAAGTTGTTTCCTTACATAATGATTCCAAAATAGACATGGAATCTGCAGTATTACTGACCTTGTGGCTTGCATAATTCTTGTCATCAAGGTCCAAAGCGAGTTTGGCATGTTCTAGAGCTTCATATGTCAATCTTTTCTTAGCATCTGCATCGTCACACTCTTCAGCCAATACTCGACATGCTCTTGCTAATCTCCACTCAATCTCAGCATTTTGCAAATCTCTGTGCTTTAGTAGTAGGTCATACACTTCTTGTGTTCTGGTCTCATCAAATAACTCATCTGCTGTTTTGATATCAAGTTCTAGCTCACTCATTTCCTTTGATTGTGGTGTCCCTGTGTCCTGAGGTTTTGATGCTCCCCACCAAGTAAGGGAAAGTAAAGGAGGAAAAAGTTGGCCACCAAATTTAGATTTCTTTACTAGCTGGTTGCTAGCGAGGTAAATCTAGAACAGGTAGTGAAATAATGTAAATAAATGTATTTATAAGCAGCTATCCTGCAGGTGACCCTGAAAGCTTTCTGGGAGTGCTTTGTAAGAGTGGGCATTTTCTATTTTTAAACTTTATTTGTTTAAAAATTAAGAATTAGCTTATGCAAGCAAAATCCCGTTGTAAACTTCAAGCAATTGACAGCCTAAAGGGGATGAAGCTCATTCTATAAAAACGAGATAATATCCTGCAGGATAGCTGGATTAAAAAAATATTTATAGAATCACTATTGCAGCCATCAGCTATTTCCTAAGGAAAGTTTGGAATATTGCAGCCCTAGTAAACATTACCCTAAAACTCCAATTACCTACACTGAAAATGATAAGAGCAAACTGTACTTTCCTTTAAAAGAAAATACACTCAATTAAAAAGGAAAAAAGAACATTGCAATTACGTTCTTGTAATAAGGAAACTTGAGAAAACTGTTAATGAAGGTGAAGAAGGAGCTCATATGAATCCGTGGGTAACCATCCTGGGAGAATGAATTTACCCAAGTAGGGTCAAGTGATTTTCAGTGATCTCTTCAGACTTATGGTGGATCTCATTTCAGTTCCAAGTCTTCCAAGTAGTCTATCCTAGATAGCGTGTAAGTTGACGCACATGGAACATGGCCTAACATATAGTGACTTGCAAAATTTATATTGAATGCTGAATTAATTCCATTTCGACTTTCATCGTTTGTAAATACGATTACAGAAAAATACCTTCCTTTGAATGTAATTTCCGATATGTTCAGGCCTTCTTAGTTGCCTACAGACGTTTAAAACAAACCCTTTCTCAGCAAAGAGCGCCCGAACTCTCCATGGAATACGACGTTCACGTAAAAAAGCCGCCATTATAGAAACTTAGGAAACCTGGGGTAGAGTGAAAGTTACAAAGGTCAGTGGGATTCGAGGGGTCTCGAAGGAAAGTTCCGATGAAGTCATCTCGGTATTTTCTTTTGAAAAACAGTTTTGTAGCTGGCTTTAAGATATTCACACGATTGGAAAAAAATACTTTGAATGCTTTCTATGGAAAGTCATACAATAGATCTCAAAATGTAGAAAAAGGGAATTTCTAGCCAACGATGAGTAAGCGTGGACCACACTAATAAGAGATCGTTACAGAGCGCGGAAGTTGGGGATTTTGTTATTGTAGAAGCAGCGGAAAAGGCGACTCAACGCTGGCGGGTTAAACGTCTCAATTGTCTCTTCTCGGCTTACCTTGGCCAAGTTTACGGCTCAGGTTCTTAGCGCAGCTCTGACGAATCCCGGGTTTTGGCTACACGTCACTTGTAATGGGAGTCACAAGATCCGGCTGTCACTCAATAAAGAGACAATCTTGAATAATTAAAAATATTACGTAGAAATTTGCATCAAATGACAATAAGCTGATTCGGTACAAGCAATTGGTGTCTGCTCTTGCTGTAAGTGAACAAAAAAGCAAGGAAATTTCAAACAGCGTACAAAATCTAGAATTGTAGTACATTTGTACCCACCCTCCTACCATTTCAACGTTATCGAACTGAGTGCATGGGTGTCTTCCGGCCGAAAATTAGCGAACGTGTTGAGAACAAACCAGGCCTGAGAACGAACAAAAGGGGAAAGCCATTCCCCTCTATTTCCTAGATCCTTCAGGTTTTATCAGTGCCCCTGTTTTAATCGACTTACTGATCGTAAACCTAGCTATAGACTTGAATAGTGATCGAGTCATGAAATCTCTTCTTTACATATAAAAAAAACCGTTTCATTAGTTATTCAGCATGCCTCAGCATGCTACATGTAGTTTCATATCAGAAGATTTTATTCACACATAACACCTGTAAAGTTAAACCCTCAAAATACTGCAATTTGCATGAAATTTAGTTAGCTTTACCTTTTCGAAATGGCTGTATATCTTTGGTTTTCGACAAATTGCGAACTTTCGTAAGTCCATTAGCACATTAGATCCTTAGATAAACGATCCCTCAAACTTTACAGCTTTAACAATTATCGTTGTCAAATAAAGGATTTGATCGATCAATGCCTCGCACGCGAAGGGGAACGAAAAACCTTGCACTGCCTAGGAGTTGTTTCTCTCAGAGTACGAGAAGGTTTGGAAACAAACCGCGTCCAAACCGCGTGCAAACCTTCTTAACTTGTGTAAAAGGTTATTTTAAAATAATTTTTAATGATAATTGACGGAGCTTGGTGCTTTTTTTATTTCGAGTTTTTCTTTCTCTAGCCACCAAATTAATTTATAATTGATCTTGAGTCTCGAAACTATAAATGCACGGACCTGGCACAAGGAACAGACTTCCGATAACTGTTTCCAATGGCCTCTTGCGTCTTTTGGGGCGTTTTAGCCATCACTTGGGCTCAGGAGCTAAACGGGTACTCGTAATATTTTTGATACCGTGTGTGCTTCTGATTACACGTGTGTACATCGACCTTCGTTAACATAGGATTCGGTTCGCTGAAAGACCATAATTTCACCAAATCATGTTTTGAAGCATGCCACCTAAAGTGAACAAAATATTTTTCTTTTTGTTTTGTACGTCATTCGTAATTGGGCGATGGTTTGGTAAAGGACGTGCGCAATTAAGAATGCACTCGTGTATTACCTTATCACGCAGTTTCACACATGAGTGACTAAGAGAGAAAAGCAGACAAGATTCTTGGATGTAATGCAGAATAACTATTCGGTAAGGAATGAGAGTTTGTCCCGTGTAGTAAATACACAGTCATGAGCGTGCACAAAAGCGACAAAAGTTTAGATGCTCTATTGAATTTCAATTAAAAAACTTCTACTTATCAAACTTCATTTGCTAGGAACCCTTCCCCAATCCCCTTCTAGGTTTGATGCGTTAGATCGCCACGAGTGAATGAAACAAAGAAACTTACACTCAGCCTGAATGTCATGTAGCTAGAAGAGTATCCTTTCCGCATGTAACGAGAGAGAGAGAAAGAGAGAGAGAGAGCGGAGCAGTCTGACTTGCATGGCTGTTCACGCACACAAAATCAGTCAACGGTCATAAATAGCGGCGAGAGAAAAAATCCATGTAAAAACAAGGCTTGAATGTTTATTTGTAATCAGCTCTACAATTGCAAGAGAGCTCTATAATTCAACTTCGATCACCGTTAAAAATCCAAAAGGGGCCCTATACGACGCGGGCAATCTTCTATCGATAACAAAAAAATAGAGCTGAAAGTAAAACTTCTGTAGTAGTGACTTAGTAGTCTGGTTAGGGGTGACGAATGCGTCACGCCCTGGAAATAAAACGTGAGTTAATTTTTTTATTCATTAAATTTACTATTTATTTGCAACACCAACAAAAGAAATCTCTACGTGGCCAGTTTGAGTAGGATAAACAGAATTAAACTTTCATTAAGTTTGCATTAGGAAAATATGGATATTTCTATTAAGCTGCTGTTTAGAGCCGACTGTCTTTTAAGCAATCAATTTTAGATCCTTAGGGAACCACGCACAGAACAGAAACTATATAATTTGCAGCGTTTTTGCGTGTGATGTAAGATTCAACTTCTGTAAAATTCAAGTTTTAATATTCTCTTCAAATAAAACCCTTTAATCTATTAAAAAAAAAACAATCTTTTTCACAGATTAACTAAAAGTCTTAAATAAGAACATCTTGTCATTCTGTTGGATACTCAAATATCAAGACTTAAAACTTCGAAAAGTGAATTAAGAAGTGTTATCATGAAACAGGAAGCAAACTTCGAATCACTGTATTAAACTTATTTACCGACCTCTGACTTTCTGTGTTTCAAGAAGATGAACGATAACTTGCCTAGGCGCTCTGAACACATTTGACAACTTCTCCATCAACTTAAACGACAAAATTTGTATATCTGACGGCTAGGTAAGATAAATATTTTACAACGTTATTTCAACAATTTCATCGTTGTAGAACCACTCAATGGATTTTTCCGCTTTATGTGGGACTTTAAAGTTCGCTACCGTCATGTCCACATAATGCAGTCATGCAACAAATAACCTTTTCGCTGATAAAGGCAATGACAATGGTTTGAAGTTTAGTGAGGCTTGAAGGTCGCTGTAATTAGCGCTGACTTTGCTGATGACCGGAAGTGATCTGCGTTGAAAAACTTTTCTTGTTAAATTTTTGTTTGCTTCTCTATCTGGTAGCAAATATGTATAATCATGTCTTCAACATGAACACAAGGCAAAGATAACGTTGATACCATATCTACAGCTTTCGATTTTTTAGTCCTATGTCTATGTTATCAGCATGAATAAGATTGTACGAGACGAAGCATTACTTTAAAACTCGACCGAGCACGAAACACTTCCTCTACGTCAGCAGTTTATTTCATTTCCTCCGCGTTAGGATTAATACAAACACGTCCCTGGTCTTACGAAATCGTAGTTTAAAATTTCTCTGATCTTCGCATCTCTTGCTCTGATCACAATAATTGTTTTATTTTCAGAGAAACTGAGCCCGTTGCCAGGAAAGTTGTTTATCAAAGCAGCTCGTAACCATTTCCGCTTGAGCTCGATTTCACGCACGCGCTGGATCATAAACGGTATAAACAACCTCAAATCTCATAGCAACCCTAAACCAATCACAACCCTGGATTCGGCGTCTGCTGATAATACGATTAGATCATAGCAACGAATTGACCAATGAAATGGAAGAAAGTTGTTTATAGCTCTTTGTTACTTTGATTAATTCAGGTAGAAGAAAATAATAGCCGGCATCGATGCTCACTCTTCACATTTATTCGTGCCTGCTTGCAACGTGCGAGTGCCTCCACTTGCTATTTAAGAAAGGGAAAATTGCTCCGCCGTGAACGCTGTTTAACGCCGCGATATCTCCATTTTTATCATCACAGTTTCCGACTCACGATAATGCTTTTTACTGTTTCAAAGTGCTCTTACTTAGCAAGCTGATAGATCGCTGTAAAGTTTTGGACACATTGTTCTGTTTAATCAAATTCTACCGGGTGGAACGACTGTTAATCAGTCGGACGGGTTTAGAGTTTTCGAAAACTGATCTTAATCAGCGAGACCCAAGACGCTTTGGCTTATTTAGCATTTTAAACGTTTCGTCACTCATCTACTTCATATTATCCGCTGTGGCAAATCTGATCTACGAACGTGCAAGGAAGAACGCTCAGTTACCGTGGAAATCGACATTAAATTCGTTCGATTTGTAACTTGTGGCAACTGGCTCACGGGAAATACAGCAGTCGAGCACATTGACTATCCTAGGATCTGGACTTCATCCACCGATCGCAAAAAGATCTCAAACGGGACAGCTGCCTGTAATATTACATCAGTTACTCGGCACTGAGATATTATGAACAAAAACATGCCGGTTGCAGTGCAGTCATGTGCTGAAAGATTTGCAGCGAACTGGAAGGCTCAGAATCCTACAGATAAAGAAGAAGAACAAACTTCGCTTGACGATAGTTTAACAAATCTTCAATGGCTTCATAGTATTAACATTCAGGACATTGCGCCAACGACTACCTCCATAGCTCCTTCGCCGAGCCCGTCGTCGAATTCGTGCGACTCCGACGATCACTGTGATTCTAGCGATGGATACAAGGACATAAATCGTAAGGAGCCGAATATTGATTACAAAAATGATGCCAACCACAAACCTCCTTACTCTTACGCGACATTAATTTGTATGGCTATGAGAGAAACCAACAAGACCAAGATTACACTGAGTGCAATTTACAAGTGGATCAAAGAAAACTTTATGTATTACAGGGTTGCGGATCCCACTTGGCAGGTAAATAAGAGCAATACTTTAATGTTAAAATTCATTTGCCTCGTGAAGGAATAAGTAAAAAGTAGATATGTCCAGTTGTTAATCTGTTTTACGAGAGCCGGCTTTAGTGTTGATGAAGCTCGTTAAGCATATTCATGTATATAATAATGGCCGAAAATTGAAGCGTGAAAAGATTCAAATAAAAGGGCTTTCCTCGAAGTCCTCCCCAATTAATCGTTTGAATTAGTTGGTCAGTTAAGATTATATTTACCCCATTTGGGCAAATTTTATTTTTCCTTGTAGAAACGTAGCATGTCAGATTTCTTTTGTTCAGAAGTATGCGAATTGAATCATAAATTGAATATTAAATATTTTGTTTTTACACTTGGATACCATGGCTTTTTGGTCACTTTACGAAATTCAGAGCAAAGTCGTCGAGGAACAGAATTCACTTATTGTTTCCCTTTTACAAAGACATTTACTCTTCTTGTCAGCATAGATGAGGTTTTTTCGGTTAGCGGCCTTAAATGGATTGTTTCACTAACAGTTTCTTTTCCAGGTTGAAAATTTTGTCAGTACGATTCGTAATCTCTTTACTTTCTTACTTTGATAACAAAACCTGCTTTTCAGTAGCGTAATGTATTCATTGTCGTGGGTGGATTTCACATTTTCCGCTTCGTTCGAAAAGTAAAGAGAAGTCGTTAACTGCCTGAAGACATCAAGATATTGTCTACAAAGTAGGGACAATTGACGGTAAATTGGAGGTAGAAAATTAATTTAGAGCATTAAGATTTAGGAGTGGCTCAACTAAATTTAAGTTTTGGTACCAGAGAGGTTTTTTCATGCAAATTTAAAATGTTTCCGTGTATTTTTCATATAATGCACACCAGGGAATTATTGAGCTTTTGCAAAAAATTTTCCGCATGTTGCTTACGAAGAATGTAAGTTTAAATAAACGCTACAAAAAATGATCTTTACTCATTGGGTGGTAAGAATCGCCTTAAAAACCTTTTTGTTTTTTAATAAATTTGTTGCGCGTGATCCACGGCTTTAAAATTAGTTGAGAAGAAAGCCTTCATTTTTAAAAATACCGTCCACGAGAATTAATGTTACATGATGGGGGCAGCCGTTTGGGAAGACAAGTAAATTATTTTTGAAACTTACAAATGTGATTAGAAAGAATGTTTTGATAAACTCTACACAAAATATTTTCCAATTTCAGCGTCAATTTTGTGTGCCTATCGATTTTCAAAGCGGATGATTCTTTTCGATTTCAAAATAAAATACCCTTTAGTCAAGAAAATTCTCCTTCGAGGTGATAATTTATCATCAGGTGACGAGGTGATAATTGTTGAAGTTACTGATAAAAGTACAAAATGATTTTTCTCCATGCTTGAACTGAAAGCCATTACATCATGATAGCAATATCACAGCAATGCAGTTGTGCATTTCTCAACTGAGAACAACAATATGTGAAACATTATAAAGGAGGTCGTCCTAAGAATAGGAGAAATATACATATCCTGTTAATTATGGAGCAAAGACAATTTGTGTAAAACAGGTATATTAGCATAACAAAGCAGTCTATCACAGTGTTACATGATATTTCAACCCTGACAACTCCAAAATACATTCAGATCTATCCAAAGAGCGAATTACCTTCACCAAGCATCATTTATAATATAATCTATCTAATTTCTCTATTATTTGATCTCTTCCTCGCTTATGAGCAAATTCACATTGCAATAACAATGACTGGGCTACATTGCTGTAAATAAGAGAATATTATAACAGTCTGAATATTTCAATTTTTCCCAAACTGGCGTTCATTTGTCGCAAGTTTCGGCCTTAGGAAAAGACTCCAGCAGTTCCTAAACAATGCTAACTGTAATTCTTGTCTAATATTATCCACTTTTTTCTTTCCTTTGGTTTTTACCCCTGGACACCTGCATCTAATATTGAGTTAGTGCTAGGAAAAAAACTTTGCTTCATTTACTCAAACTTGACAAGATAAAATGGTGCAACAAGTTTTACATAGTGCTCTATTTTAAGTCCCTATGGTGAGTGCATAAATGACAACTTGCAGCTGTCAATTGTGCAAATTACCAAATGAAAATGTTAAAAAAAAATAATTTCCCAGTGACACAAATTTGCCTTGATTGAAATGCAAAGTTCTCTTCTTATTTTTTGTCATAGTCCATCTTTTCATAGATATTATGTCTTGCGAGAATTAAAAATGAAACCAAACAACATTTTTCCTCGCACAAAAGTATTAGAAAAATTTTCTGTGGAATACCCTCCTAAATGAACATATTTCCAAACATGTTACTCCCTGTGCAACAAGTATTTCACAAAACATAGAATGTCATATAATCCAGAGAGATTTTGACAACAAGGCAAATACTTGGGTGTTAACAATCTTCAATTACACTCAGTCATAATTAGACCATTAAATATGAACATTCATTTGTCCTTTAAAACTGTTGAGGCATTTAAAAGCATAATTATACAAATCAAGAGAATGGAATCAAATAATTTGTTATATATCAATTTTCTCCTAACTTTTTCAGAATTCAATTCGGCACAATCTGTCACTAAACAAGTGCTTCGTAAAGGTAGCCAGGAACAAAAATGAGCCAGGAAAAGGAGGCTTTTGGAAAATAGACCCTGCATATGCTGACATGTTTGTGGATGGTGTGTTTAAACGAAGAAGAGGTGTAAATACACAAAAACCTTCAAAGAAAAGTTCCTCAAAACAATGTAAGAAGACTACATCAAAAAGATCAGCAGATTGTCTTACAAGTCCACTTGATGATGACAATGAACCCTGTGACAGAAAGAAATATAAACCTGTAAAAATAAAGATTGAAAGGGATGATGATGATGATTTTTTTAGTGAGGAGGAAGTTGCACCTTTTTCTGGTGGAATAAAGGAAGAGTTTAGTTGGATGACAGTGTTAACAAACGATGAAATTGATGAAAGTATACGAGAGATTGCAGATGCCCATGGAATTTCATTTGAGTCAAGTTCAATTCCAGCAACAGGCCTGTGTGGATTAAGCACACCTGTTTACTTGAGCCCCCCACCATCAACAGACAGTACAACCAATGACAGCTTCCAAGTGGATCCTGAACTGGACTTGACAATAAGGGGAGTGGGACTGTTACCACCCCGTGAAAACCTGGCAACACCGTCACCAACCACCTTAACAGATGCTACACACTCTGTTTTTAACATGCCACCCTCTCCTCCCTTGATGTATGAAGAAGACCACCCTTGGGCAGAAACAAGCAATGACCTTGTTGACTGTTTTGAGTTAGATGACAACAACAACAACAGCATTTGGTAAATGAACTCAATGTTTTTTGGTCCAGGAGAAACTTATTTTGTTTGACTTGGAATATTCTGTGGGAGAGAAAGGAAACAAATTGTGTTAAAGTATTTAAAAATGTATTGAGTTCCTTTTAATTCTCAGACTGGAGACTGGCAAAAAAATATCAGTCTAGATTGAAGACTAACTTCTTCCCAACAGAATGATTTAAAAACAATGAGAAGCAGTAAGGAGAGTCACACTGCCAATCTTAAGAACCCAAGAGAGATTTTTATAAGTGTCATTTTACATCAAGTAACCAGAGAGAGATATTACTCAGATTTAAAGTTAAAAGTTCTATGATTGGAAGTCTTAGTTTCTATTACAAAATTATGGATTGCATGACAAATTTTCTAAAGTTGCAATTGGCTCACTTTCACTTTATGAAAAGAGAATATTGAACTTACAGTGTAATCTAAAGGAGTTTGT